ATACTAGGCTACTGCCACAGTTCCTGTTTTACAGTTCATTACATTCCTTAAGGGGTTTAAAAGATGGGTCTGAATTATTCTTTGTGCTGCTCCATAGTCCTTAAGTTAAGAAATCAAGTCATTCTCCTCAGAGTCATTGTAGGAATAAATATCAGACAGTAAATGGGCCTATTATAACTTCTCATAAAAACTAAAACAAAAAAGGAAAAAAGGGAAGTGCTTTTACTCTCAGATGTACTCTTTCAACTACATAATTGTTTTTGTAGTATTTAAATAGAAAAGTAAAGCTTTCTATGTGTTTCACAGCTCTCTGTCAGGTGACTGCTAAGTTATCTCTGAGAGTGAATGAGTGCAGCTGTGCAAATGTAACACAACAAATATGCACTTAATTGTGTCCTTTGGCCAGCAGAACATGTCTGTAGGTAATTAGTTCTTCCTCCACCAGACCCACTGGCATGTGAGCTCTCCTAGCGGGATTCTTGTTATTGTTCTCTCTGGCTCTTGTTCGCTGTTGTTCTGGAAGGAAGGACAGAGCTGAAGGCATGAGTAATAGGAAATCTTAAGCTCTCACGTTCACCAAAGAGGAAAACATTTATTTAATCAGCCTAGAGCTTTACAAGCACTCAGAGAATAGAAGTTAGTCTTGTGGGTAGTGGGGGCAGAGGGGTTGGACTCAGAAGATACAGTCCTTGGCTTTTGAAGTGCTGTTACCCCGGGGTTAGCGCTGGATGTGAGCTCAGTGGAGGTCCTTTTTCAGCTGGACTTTTGGTACGTGTTGTGTCAGCTTGTCTGCAGGTGTATTTGCAGCTCCTGGGCTGGAATAATTCACCACTGCCTTCCCTGACAGCTTGGAGTGACAGTACATTTTTGTCCTCAGGAGGTCCCCAAAGAAGCAGAGTTTATAAAGTGAAGGCAGGTGAGCACTGTGCATGTTGTGAGTAGGCTGGAACATCAGCAGGGTGAGAAGTTTGTACAGGAGCTCACAGAATGCTGCTTCAAGTATCTCCCTACCCTTTAGTTTACCTTTTAAACTGGCAGAGGTCTCTAAGCTGGGTGCACACGCTGTGTAACCCAGTGCCATCTCTCTCACTCTGGACAACTGTGCAGGGTCACTACCCCACCCCATTAGAGGGAGCCTTCAAAGCTCTCTAAACAGTCCACAGAGGCTCTTAGCTAAGGAGAATTTGTAACATCCAAGTTGAAGCCGTTTGGGAGAATAGCATGCTGGGAAAAGGCAGGAAATTTATAGCTTCTGAGTCTGAAAAGGTGATCTATGAAAAATCTGGTATGAAAAATGTGGTTTCTTATTGTCAACTATTGTGATAGGTGTTGGTGTTATAATACGTAACAGAATTTATACTTTTGCTCATGGTACTTGGGACATGTCCTCTGCAGAATAAACACATCCAGCTCCCTGTGTGAGATGGACAGACCTGTCCATCATCCATGAATCCTGGTCACTGAGCCTCCAGCTGTCCTTCACAAGCATTAGAGATGTGATAACATGAATTTATTTTTAAGACTGGTTATGAAGAATACATTTCTATAATGGTTTTCCTTGGTAGTGTTTCTCCAAAGTATTTTATGTAGGACATTAAATGCAATTTAACTTGCTTTGTAGACTGGGAAACTGAAGGTCAGTGTTGATACAGACATGATTCCAGTTTAGGTCTTGAAATTACCAGAATAAATAGATCCTTAATAATATCTAAAATAATGTATCTATTTCATTCATGAGCATGCATATAATGTGCATATTGTGGACAGTATATATATGTTTGTAGTATATAGAAAATAACTAAACTTATATCTTTGATTAGTTAGTTATCAGTGGGATTTGCAGAGCCATAGAAAGCTACTCAAATTTAGCATTCATTTATCTACATTTATAATTATGCTTGTAGAATTCCTTTGATCGCTGTTTCTTCACTCTGCAATTCTAAGGCTCTGGAAGTATTTGGTAAATGAGAATGTACTTCTGCTTTTTAAAATTTAATTCTTACTGTTTGCTGTGTTTAAATGGGATTTTATCTGAGAACCTATCTCAGATTTATCAATGTGGGTAGAAGATAAATAGGCAAGTCAGAAGAGGTTGTATGTTGTCATTAATTGATAACATGTTCTTTGCTTTTAAGGCACATGCAAGTGTCTGATAATTTAACAGAGACTTTATAGGCAGTGACAGCAACACACAGGTTTAATATTTCATTTGACAATAAATTGCTGTCAATTAATTCAATTCCATTTAAGAATTTGAAGTAAAAATGTTAAATATTATTTTGGTTGCTTTTAGTACATCTACCTAAGCAAACCAAGGTATTTACAGCAATTAATTTAGCTTATGCCATATTATTTTAGGGACAGTACTCTGAGATATGGGTCACAGTTTGTGCTTTATGGTTTGGATAGTCCTGACAACGAAAGTGAAATCATTCAGAAGGGACCACAAGCAGTATGATAGATCAAATCCCAGCAGCTGCATAGCACAGAGAACTGCAGAGGATTTCTGGGTGTGAACTGGAAGGGGTGAGGAGAACTCAGCACAGTGAGAAGAACCTTTACCTTCTCCCACCTTGACTGAAGGATGTTTGGGGCAAATGTGCACTTAATCAATTTTACCTGTTGTTGCCATGAGGATTGAGATGCAAACCTTTCAATGCACAGCACAGTAGCATGAGGTCCCGGAAAGCTGCACAGCAAGTCAGGCATAGCAAGATGAGTCCTGAATTAATTGAGATTCAGGATGTTTTCCAGCAAATATCTGCTGTAGGAAGGATCCCACTCATGAGTTGTGGAAATATTACAGAGGCAGAAAACTCAATAAACTGTTTTGGAAGTGTTTAACAAGAGCAGCTGCTCTGGTATGTGACTTCCCCAAAACCTCTCAAGTGCAGGGTGTGTTCTCACTTCTACTTGCAGGGTTGTGTTATCTGGGGTGTGGTGTTCATTCATCATCCCTCACACCAGGCTAAAATTTGGCCAGTTGTTTCAATCTCAGGGAGAAACCTGATAAACTTGAAATTGATCCCTTTGGGTGTTTGGAAGAGGCAGGTGTACATGGTTTGAACTATATTCCCTTGACAGTAGCTTATCAGAAGTTTTTCCAGGAAGACAAAACTTCAGAGAAGCCACAGGTCTATGCATAATAATGTGATGAATGCTGGATTTCTTTATCCTATAAATTCCAGTCTTGAATGAAACTAATGGGATGCCTCAGAGGTTAAATAATTGCTAGGGAGAATCAGAGATGAAGAAGGCAGCCAGTAATGAAAATGGCTGAAAATTAGTATTAACTCATTTTCTTTCTTTAATATTGGCTTTGTTGCTGCAAGTCAATCATCAGTTTTCTCCCTCATTAGCTTTTCTTCTTCCAGTGAACATATTTTGTAGTGACTCCTCATTTTCCCTTTTAACAGAGACCCTGTTTTGCCTGATAGCTTTAAATCTGCTTTACTAAAACTGCATTTTTAAATCCCATTACTCTCCCTTTGGTGGATTTTGCCCCTGAAGTGCAAGAATCAACAGTAAATACAGAATCTGATTAGGAGAAGTGCAGGCTTTTGGCAGCTGAACAGTGAAATGAATAACCAAACTAATATCACACTGAGTCCTCCTCTCTGGCCTTGTATTGCTGAAATTCCTGGATGGGAGTTATTAAAAATGAATGGTGCAAATTCACCTGTAGAAGGGCTGGGTGGTAAAGCTGATCTTCTGGTAGCTGTCAGGTACTTTAATCCATGTACTTCATCATCTTATATAAATATGTTTAAATAAAAAGCCTCTGTAATGAATATCAAACCAAAAATATGTTGTTATTCTTCTCAACAGACAAAATGAAAGGTTGGATTTAGTAACATTACGGTCTTAAGTATAATGAGGTAGGAGATGGTTTTGATGACATTTTACAAGTCAGCTATAGAGTAAGCAGATATTTTATGCATATAGCGTCTCAGTGGATAGGGAATATTTGTGGCAAAGGACTTGAGGTTAATTTGTTTGGAAAGCCAGATACAAATTCCAAGAATTTTAGAATTCTTTACTTGTCATTATGAACGGTCATTTTCTAGCTTTAAATATTTTTCTATTTAAAAGCCTGACGTGGACATTTTGTGCTTAGTTTATGATGTGAGGAAGCTAATGTATTGATTGTTTTGGCCTCCTAAGGAGAAGAAATCGCATTAATATTTATGCCTTCATTTTTCCTGTCCTCAGAGGCCTGAAATCTGATCAGCTTTACCTATTATGGGTATCAATGTATTTAAGAGACTGTATGACTCAGTGGATTTGGATTTGGGTAACAGGATCTAGGGTATTTAGGACCTTTACATCAGTAGCTCCAATTCAGCCCAGACTGTCTGTGCTGGTGTAGCTTCTGAAGTCAGGCATTTGGGAATTAAATTAATGGGCCCAGAAGTGGCTCTAGAAAACTCTCTATACTAATACCCATATCAGCAGTGTAGGGAAGAAGGCCAAGGAATGAATTGGCAAGTTGAAAACTCATTGATTGACTAAATCCCTCCATAACAATGGAGCAATTGAGAAAAGATATGTTTGGCAAAACGAGGAGGCAGCAGGTTTACACAAATTAACTGCAGTGTGACATTCATTGCCTTGGACTGTTAGGTAGATGACAATTTAAGAGGATGTTTGTCAAATCATGGAGAACAGGTACTTTATGATGTTGCTCCTAGCCAGGAAGATGCTGATTACTTGAACGGGAAGGTGTGAAGAGGAAGGGATGCTCTGTGTTGTCTTTTCTCATACAGAGTTTTTCCCAAGCAGTCACTGCTGGCCTCTGTTGAGGGCAGGATAGACCTCAGGGCTGAAGCAGTGCGGCAGAGCTTACATTCTCAGTGCTGCTGTCACATCATGAGGGCAGTGTTGTATCAAAACAGGTGAACTAGAAGAAAAAGGGCCATGGTCAGTCAGCAAATAATGAGTGTTCAGAAAGCAGTGCAATGCATTTGTCACCAAAATGTTCTTTCTTTGTTTTTGTTTAGGCAGGTGACAAGCATTATCATCCCAGCTGTGCACGATGCAGCAGATGCAACCAAATGTTCACAGAAGGAGAAGAAATGTATCTGCAAGGTAAGGATGTCTCCATTCCAAAACAAGAAAATCAGACATTGTGATTTTTCTGTCATAGACCTCAAGAATTTATAAACCCATGCAATATGTCCAAGGAAGACTATGGTCCTTCTGTCCTCAATAGTGTTCTCATATTTTTTTCACTTGATACCCTTTTGCTCTATTAGGTGGCCATAACTGTGACTTTGCAGGGACTCTGCACCCTCTCTGAGACAGCCTGTGCTTTCTAAAAAATGAAATTTATTAGGCTGCCTGTGAATTTGACATCTCATGGATAGTTTAGCCCCAGAGTGGTGTATGAGATACCAGACAAAGTGAAGGGATTTCCCCTGATTTCTGCTGATCAGTTTCTGTGTTATTCTGAACCACATACCAAACTGTAAAAGGCAAGGGAAGATCTTCAGAAGCTGCACTGAATTTGTTTTGAACCATGTAGACCTCATTCCTCATGCACATTGACAGAGTGTCTCCTCCAGTTCTTAATTATATTTACTTCCCTTGCCTACTTCCCTTTTATCTGGTCACATCTCTCTTTTTATTCCCATGTACTTAATTTTTATATCTTTCTTTAGCCACCGATTTCTTGTATGTTTATTTTCATCTCCCTTTTCTTGTTAACAGTCTCACACTCCCAATTATTGGATTTTTTTCATGATCTTTTCACATAAGAAAGAGTATGCTCTTTTCTTTGATTAAAAAAATCGTATCTTTGATCTGACTCCCACCTACTCTCTGAGAGGGTGGTATAATTATTAAGTTATTTTATAACTTGCTGTAGTATTACTGTTTGTGGAAGGATGCATAATACCCATTTATGTAAGCCAGAAATAGAAGTGAATAAGGCAGACACATGTTGGGATTTTATATTTGGGACTTAAATTAGAAAACTTGACGTACTTGAAAGGAATGTAGAAGAATAGCGAAAAAATTATGAAAGTGTGGTCACAACCATTTCTTGAAATCCTGAAGAGAGGTTCTTACTGGAGGAGTTCCAAAATAAGATAATATTGTTAAGGCATTCTTTTGAAGCTAACTTGTTTTATTTTGTGGTTCGTCCTTCCTTGCAGTCCCTCTCTCTCATCTTTCCCTGACCTTATACCTCAGTCATCTTATTCCAGCTGTGCCCAGAACAGAATGTGAAGTTGTGTAGCAGCTCTGCTTGGCAGGAGCAAGGAGAAGCTGGAAGAGGGCTGGGTGGAAGGTGCTGCTTTCTGATGGCAAATTGGAAAGACTTACTTGAAAGCACCTGGCAAATCTTAGTTTCCTCACATGCTGGTGTGATAAAGTACAGGCAAAGTTCAAAATGAGCATCAGATCATCCTTTGCCATCGTGAATTAATAACAACTATTTCCAACTGCTGTCATTTGCACCAGGCTAGCAGAGAGTGGGACTTTGGGTTAATTGAGCAGGCTTTGGTGTAAATTTCTGCAGATCAAAGACAGAAGGTATGACTTGTACTTAAACTAGGCTGGAGTTTGTCCTGGACAAGTTCAGGTGATAGGGAAGGGGAGAGGAGAGAAACCTGGCAGCAGCTTGATCTGCTGTTCTCTTCTTAGTGTATTTCTCTTTCTGTGGTTATGAATCAATGTTCCTTGTGCTCAGTCTGTCTCAGGGGAGGAGCACCTCAATTTGCATTGCTTTATTGTTCACAAGATATTTTCTGACTAAATAATGTAATTGCTAAGTGTGCTCCAGGCTGTTCTGCCAAAGCTTTCCTTGCTGAATTCAGCATGCTTGTAAGTGTGAGGACCTAAAAGCCTTTCTTGTGCAGAGCTCTCGGTTGAACAGCATATCCCGACTCCATCCAAATCACTGACCCTAGGGTGCAGAATAACAGCATTCCAAGCATTTCTCCAAAATAGAAATACAACACCACAACAATAAAGCTAGAACAAAAATCACATTGTTGATAAAATACATGAAAATAGGTGGCTTCCATCTCACTTCTAATTGTCCTCTCCCTAGAATATGAAAACACTGTCTTGGTATTGCTTTGTATAATAGAGAAGCCTGGCAGGACTGTGGTAGAAACTTGTATTAGAAATGTGTGGGAAACCTGCAAAAGGAGAACATGGACAAGCTGTCTTGGGGCTTTCTATGTTAAGGATGGTTGGAACAATGCCAGCAGAAACACTCTGGCTTGGCACTGCTCCAGCACATGAAAATGAAAAAGAAGCAGCACCAGAAACTGTCTCTTTCCCATTGACTTCCTGGTAATACATTATTTTATGGGCTGCCCCACAAGGCTGTTGCTGAGCTAGGATTGCCCAGTATTTACAGGGATGCTGATGTTGAAATAATGGTATGTGCAAAGTATAAAGCTGAATAAATGAGCATGCTTGTTGGTGTTTGCCAGGTGAGCAAACAAACATACATTAAGAATGGAAATAATCACAATTTGCTGAACTGTTTCCAGTAGTAAAAGAGAGGAGTGATGCAGCTTGGGAATTTGTACTCCTGCAAGCATTTTGAAATAGATTGGCATGTTTGGATGAATAGATCATGAAAAATATATGCATTTAACTACTTAAGCCTGCCCTGATTTGAATTTTTAAATGTCACATATTTCAAATCTCTCATCATTTTGTGAAAGGAAACCCACAACCCTTAGCTACGTTTCACCATGAAAATGACATCCAGGTTCCTGCATTTCTTGTTCATTTTCAGCATTTTCACAGGGTGTCCCTCGATTGTGCCAGTTTGTGATAAATACTGCCCAAAATGCAGTGATAGCTTTCTCTTTGATGGTAGGGAAAGTTTAACAGAAAAGAATCACGGAATTGTTAAGGTTGGGAAGACTCCTAAGATCATCATCTCCTGCCATTAGTCTAACAGTGAGGTACAGAAGAGCAGGGATTATGTTTTTCAGGGCCATAGAGGAAGGAAGCTCACAGCTGGACTTGATACTTAAACTAAAATCTTCTTAGTTTATCCTTGAGCAATAGGTGTCATATTCAGAGGAGTATTACTCAGATCACTTCTTTTAATATGAACTTACAGCCTTATAACCTGAACTCTCTTCCTCCTGCATGGACAGGGCACAGCTCCCTCCTGATCTTGCAGGCTCTGTGGGGTCCTGGCTCTGAGGATGCTGTTTGTTTACAGAGAAGGCTCTCAGTGCACTTCTCCCTGTTGTCTGATGGTTTCCCTCTGCCAAATGCACAGTTTCTTCTTCCTCAGCTTAGACTCACAGCCAAACACCTCAGACCCTTGCTCCAGAGTCACAGTGTTCTCTCCTGTCTCCTGATGATGACTCTGCTGTGTACTGCTGGGAAATGAAATGATTCCTGCTGCTCTTCTGCACCAAGCCGTGTAAAGGCTTGTTACAAGAAAGTTTCCAGGGGCCTGACCCATCCTTCTCCTGTTCTCTGAGGGTGGGGTTTCCTCTGGCTGCTTTTGAGCTAATAGTCACCAGCAGGAGACCTGGACTTGGCTCTGTTTGGTTTCTTTGTGGACAGAGTGAAGAGGTGATGTTCCCCCTGCAGATGGCCAGGGCTCTGGATCGGCTTTGTGGTGACTGGAATGAAGGATGAATTTGACTGCAGCTGCAGTCAGTGTTAAAAATCAGTGTTGGTTTTTGCTCCATTTATCTTGGCCAATACCTGCCAGCAGCTTTCCAGCAGTGACCACAGTTTACATTCTGTTTCAAAGGACAACTGAAATGGGATGGAAATGCTTCTTGCCCCTGACATCGCTCAGTCCTTGAGGACAGCAGGATATTCCTACTTCACAGCACAAGAAAGAATCACATATTTTGGGAAGCAAGCAGCAGAGGACTTGACTTTTTTAGTAGGATGTAGAGCTGGAATATGCCAGGTGGAAGTGCTGTGTGTGCCAATGGCAGGTACGGTGTACAGGGATCCAAGGAGAGACTCTCCCATGTGCAGCTTTGCACCAGCTGCCACCCTGGCCTCTCACCCACTGCCAGTGGGTCACACAGTCCTGGCTTTTGCACTGTGAATGTTTTAGTTTTGCTTTTCCTTTTGCATGAGGGAAGATGTGATCTGAGTAGCACTTTACAGTAACTGTGTATGACACCTGTTGCTCAATGGACTTACAATCAGAACTTCCTTTTTACGTGCAGGGCAGTACATAAGGGGAAAACAGATCAGGTAACCGTAGCCCAGTTCCTTTGCTCTTACCCTCCATCCTGCCAGAGGAACCCTCCCTCTTTCAGTCCCTCCACCTGGTTGTGAGTGGTCACCTCAGTGACCCTGTTGATGCTTGAGGCTGCTGGAGTTTTAATTAAGAATGTGTGCAAAGTGCTTTGGCAGCCTCAGGACAAAGCTGCTGTAGATACGCCAAGGATTTGAATATTTTTTTGTGTTTCCCTTTTATTTCCCGTGAGCTAGACTTTAATGTGAATCACTTTCATAGTTCATACAGATTCAGCATCTGATGCAATGAAGAGATTCTCTTTAATAACTGACTTGTCATGAGCAGAAGTCATCTGCTTTGCTCTGAATAAAGATGTGTTTCTTCTCCCCCAGGTTCCACTGTCTGGCATCCCGACTGTAAGCAATCCACTAAGACTGAAGAGAAGCTCCGGGTAAGCTGAATTCATGGCTCAATGACACACCATACATTTTGCACACACAATAATTGAATGTTGTTTTTAAAAGAGTGACTTTTTCCATGTTTTTTTCACATAGCTGTCACAACTCTGGCAGAATATACAGTGGAGGCACTTCAGAGGTATTGCTCTGATTTTTAGGCTTACCACCTTCACATACCTGTCTCAGTGCACTGCCTTAAAGATAGTGTCATTTACTGACATACAGACGTGGCCAAGTATCTAAGACACTTCATTTCATATCTCAGTTGTTGTGAGAGAGATTCTTAAGGAGAAGATATGAACAGGGCAAATGCTATCATATGTTTTAGTGGTTTTGCACATCTGTGTAATTGCTGTATAGTTATCCCCTGTTCTGTGTGGTTATTTGCAGCATTTAGAAAAGATGAACACTTACTTCTTTGCTATCCAAGTAAGCCTCAACCTAAAGTTATCCTGATTTAATGCCAAAAAGAGCCACAGTTACCCTTGGAGTTACATCAGCATATTCAGACAAACTTTCTGGGTCAAATCCTCTGTGACAATAATGCTGCACTGATAAATGCTAGAGCCTGGCTTTTTGCATGAACCAGGCAATTCTAAGCCCTTATTCACTGATTCATCCTCTGGACAATTTTCTCTTTTTGATGTCTCAGTTGGTCTCTTGAATTTTTGTAATTTAACAGGATATGAATATTAGAGACTGCAAATGAATAAATTGTCTTTCAGATAAGGAAACTAAGAGGTACTGGTATGAAGATACCTGTGACATCCTGTGGGTTGTATTCTGTGTGGGTCTCACGCACAGGAAGCCACATCCTTTCGCATTTATTCTAGTAATAAATGTATTATTCTAGTACTGGTCTGTAAAACATCCCCCACAGAGAATTTATTATTGTCATAGGTAATGTGCAGATAAATTCCTGTTGAGAAGAGTTCATTTTAGTGTGGGCAAAAACATAACTGGCCCTAGATGGGCATGTGGTCTAGAATGGCCAAACCTCAGTGCAGGTACCATCTAGCATTCACACATTGTTCTGTCCTGACTTTTTCTAAGGAAATGGAAAATTATGCCAGACTGGATTTTCTTCCTCATTTAACAGTTTGAATGTAAGACAGTATTTTGGCCATGCTTAAGTGTCAGAATGCTTGCGCCTTCATAGTACTTGGTTGCAGTACAATACCTCCCTTTCACTTGGACCCAGGAGTTTTATCAAAGCACTCCTGACTACAATGTGGTCCTTATTAGCCTTCTGCAGCTGACCTTATGTCAGTTGGCTTATTTCCATTCCCCATGGAAATGGCTGTAGTCCTCTTCAAGTATCTCCCTTTTTGCCAGTATTCTCCCTCCTCAGCTAATTTTAATTGAAGTGAGTGAAGTGGATTCACTCACCTGCAGGGCTTTGCCCAAGTGAGCTCTTGCAGGAAGAGGAAGTGAAGCTGAAGAAGGCAAGCTGAGGGAGCATCTGAGCAATGTGACAGCACAGCTGTCCAGCAGCACCACACTCCTGGAGGAGACCTTCAGTGCAGAGGTTTAAAAGGTCCTTAAAAGGCATCAATAAGTTCACCATACTGAAGCTGGCTGGGATGCACCATTTTTAGCTCCTGTGGTACATCACAGATAGTCTCTGTGTACTCTGGTGCAAAGTTAGAACTTTATTCTAAAATCAGCTGTAATTCACTTTGATGATTTTGACACGTGCTTCATCCTGTTGACCCAAATGAAGGCAGTAGCAAACAGGTAGGTACAGAAACAAACAAAACGGGGGGAACTATGTGCTATTGGAGCATGCCAGCACTAAATTGGGATCTTTGATACTTTGACTGAATTTCAGGTTTTTATTCAGAGTCAGGCCTAGATTTTCTGGTGGTTCTGCAAAAAGCCAGTGCCATTGCCTATTTGCTTGCTGGGTTTCCTTTCCCTATGGAAGAAAGCAAAACAAAAGCCTGTTTATCACTGAAGTAACTTCAGAAGCTTTCAGCAAGTTCTGTTTTCTCTCAGTAACTGAATTGTGATATAAACTAATCAGCATTTGAGCTGGTCAAGATCTGAGAGGGAGTTCATAAAAGCAATGGTTGCTTTAGATCTTTTCCCCACGGATATTTGTGGAAGTTTACAAAGACAAAACAAACAGAAAACAAAGCAACCATATGCATGTTACAAAAATATATATTGTTTAGGTGTTTATTTACAGCTGTCTGGCTGTTCATGATTCTGCAGCGGTCAGTAACAGATATCATAATACAAGTAGATGATAATAACTTGATTGAAAAAAAGAGCTTAACCACTGAACTGGGGAAACTGCTTTCCTTTTCACTCATTTTTCCCTTTTGTGTTTCATGACAGCATTCCTCATCTGAGTTCTTTTATCCAAAGAGTCTGGTTCTGCGCAGGCCACGCTCTGCAGAGGTTTGCTGTTGTGTTTTCATAGTGTTGATAATGATCTTCTTTACTGAGAAGATTCTTCATTACTGTCATTTGCTGAGCTTGCTACTACTCCTGCCACACAGCTTTCCTGCTATCACTTGCCACCATGGGCACTGACGCTGTATTTTGCATCACTTGTTTCAGTGTTGCTTGATAATTCTCACATTTTTTTTTATTTTGTTTAATGAAATGCTTAAAATTAACTTCTTTATTTTAGATTCAGATGAGCTTTTGGGGGCTGTAGTATTGGTCTTCCAGTATTCCAGAAAGTTTTCCTTCTGATACAAAAAATTTGAGTGCAAATATGAAACAAATGAAAAGGGTGAAAAATATCTGACTTTAAAGCAATGATTAAAAAGAAATAGTTTTCCATGAATAATGACTTAGGTTTTTAGAAAGAAAAAAAAAACAAACCATCAGTTAAGTCACTCCCTTTTTTATATCTATTGACCAACTATCCATGAATACTTTAGTTGAGAAAATGCTTTAAAAATCCCAGATTTGTATATATTCTATGTGCTGCCTGAAAGCATTTGCCTCTCTAGTCTGGTGCACAGCCACATGTGAGTTGCTAGGTCCTCTCTGTCCACTTGGCTCTGGAGTAGCTTTCTGCTTTCAGATTTTACTGAGTTTGCTTTGCACCTACAAACACCACCCAATTCCATTTCTTCTCTGTCAGGGCAGTGTTTATTTGTTGGTTGTGTCTGCTGTGGGATGTGTGGCTGTGCAGGTGCACCTGAGGTAGTTTTCACCTGGTGATGAGGTTGGAGTGTGCTGGGGCAGAGCTGGCACAGGCTGGCAGCAGGCAGAGAGTCCATGCCACTGGATTTCCTTGGTGTTGGTTTGTGCAGCCTTCACATCTCTCATTGCAGGGTAGATGCAGTCAAATGTCAGCCAGGGCAGGGTGTCTGTGGGAGATCCAGCCTGCAGGATGGGGTTGGGCAGTGGAATCTAATTCTGTGATTCAGTGGGGGTTAATGCAAGCCCTCTACCCTTTGTCCTGCATGGTTGTTTAGTTACTTAATGCACTGAACACCTCTTGCTCTGTTAGCTACAGATCTGTGTATCAAGAAAATGCAGCATAAAGACATGTTAGCAGTGCTCCTAAGGAGAACAGTGTCTCTTCAGTCCTAGGCTTTATGGGATAAAATCATGGAGTCTGAGAACAGCAAACTGTAGGACCATTCACTCATCTTTTAGGCCAGTGTAGTGACTTTTTGCATTCAGCTTAACACAAATGAGGTTGAGTTTCCAGTGTTGAAATCCAGGAGCCTCAGGATTAAGAACCCAAATCCTAATCAATGTATTAGAAAAATATGCAAGGCAAAATAGGAGCAGCCCATGTTAAAATAAAGCTATGTCCTCCTTCTTGCTTTGTAGACTGTGTAGGATACAAATAGCTTAAGGTCAGATGAACATCCTCTTGTGTAAATTTGGTCAGTATTAAATTCCATTTAGATTTACATGGTGATTCTACAGAGTGTAACTCAAGGCAGATTTTGGCTTCAAGTCTTTTTCTATAGAGTAGACACAAAAGTACTGTCATTGCTGTTGTTATAAAAGTGGGCCAAAGGCTTGAATCTACATGAAAATTGTAGTTAGAAAATGGTAGGGTGAAATCCTCTGAATTCTCTGAAAGCTTGTGTTGAATTCAGTATGTTCTGGACTTCCCACTTTATTTTCTTGTTCTTCCCACTTAGCTTACTCTTGATGAAGGCTAAGTTTGCATGAGTAGTATTGTAGAAGTGTGTTTGGTACCAACATAACTTTAGCGATTATGTGCTGAAAATTCATTATCCCTTCTGGCCTTTGTGTCCAGAAAGGAAAAAAAAAATTAGTTGTAACCAATAATATCTGTGTCTGTGTGAGTCTGAACTAAATCTGTTCACTAGTTTTGTCTTGATGCATATTTAGTGTGGACAAATAAGGAATGCATGCATTTGAAGGAAACTCCTTGTAAGGAGAAGGGTACAGCAGAGAGGCACAAGGAATGCTGACATTGAGGGACTTTGTTGGTCAGCCATTGAAAATTATGGAAATCCATAGGAAATCCATATTTTATGAGCCCTGGTTCCAAATCCTAATCAACTGTAAAACCTTGCAATTGATAGAGCAGGCAGTCAGGTAAAGAAGTGTTGTACTGAGAAAGTCAAATCCCTTACTGTTGCTAAGTCTGCCCAGTATAAGAAATTCCATCCTAATCTTCTAATAGTTTATTTATAAATATGCTTCACTTAAAGTAGCTCCTGAGGTTTAGAGAATTTGCTTATGCTATAATGTTAAATGTTGTTAAGTGAAAACATATTCATTCTTCTGCAGCTATTATCACCGCCTTGCATAATGAACTCTATCAAAAAATTAAGGCAGGTACTGTAAATGGTGACGATGCCTTTGTAAAACGATAGTGCATCCATTTGGCCAGATGTTCTTGGGATCAGTTTTGATCTGGTTGCCTGCACCTGTAAGTTTTTACAGAGCATGATGCTGAACATCTGTACTTGAGAATGCCGGAGCCACCACATTGTAGCGGCACTGGGATGATGTGAATGGCTCTAGCGGGGATTTTTATTTTTTTTTTTTTTTGAGAAGTTATTTATTTAGATGGTGTACCATGCATGATGACATGACAAACAGGGGTAAATGCAGATGAACATCTTAAGCTTTGTAGTCTAATACTGAAATATCAAGTTAATCAGTTTGGGGCATCTGCATGGGTGATACAATAATTGAGCACTCAATTCACGGTGAGAATTAGAGGATGAGCATGACAGTTGGTATTATCTCCATCAATCTGCAAATGAAACTGGTAAAGAACTTTTGTGTTGAAGGTAAATGCATGGAATGAAGAACAAAAACATAAAAATAAGAAGTCTGTGATAAAGTGGGAAATATGAGAAGCGTTGCAAGTACTTTAGATGCTTTGTGATCTGTTTTTTCCTTTGGCTCCTTTAATGACATGCATGAATTTTTCTTGACTGAATTTCTATTGATCTTTTTTTCATATATTTCATAGACTTTCTGTATTTGGTGCAGACATCCTACATTGATATATTTACTACTTTTACATCCATTTGCGTGGAAGAGGAAAGGAAAAAAAACAATGATTCTCCTACTCTCAGAAAATGTGGAGAAGCCATGTATCACCAGAAAAGAAAAAAAAAATATTATCTCTTCATAGAAATTTCCTTTACATTTCTCTACACAGTGGTGGCTTTATAAAAAGCTGTATCTGATTCCTTTCAAGGAAAAGAACAATCATATAATTTTTTTTTCAGATCTCTTTGTAGAAGGAGTGAGGCAGCTTAACTTGTTTTGTTGCTGGGAGTGTAGAATAAGTGTCTGTCACAGGAGTAATTGTGATGGAAGTAAATACCTCCAAATTATTGCATTCATATTAAAGATTGTGTCCTCTTTCTTCACGTGTTTTCTTTAAATAATGTGTGAAAGAGATGCACTCGTGTCATCTCCAGTGTTAAAGGATGCATCAAGGCCAGCCCATATTCCTGTTTTAGCTGTGCTCTGATCAGCTCCTCTCTAAGGTGGAATTTACACCCCAGTGCAGTTACATCAATAGAGAACTTGACCTCCAGAGTGTCTCCTGCCACCTGTTTAAGATACAGAGTCACAATGGTGTTACACAGGGTCAGGGATGAAAGTGTAACATTCAATCTAATAACAGCCATATCAGGTCACAGATTTTCAAACAGGAGCCTTTATTCGCCTCTTAGGAGAGGAGCCAACCATAGCAACTAAAAGTATGCCAGAGTAGCAGCTTTTATCTAGGAGTCTTTGCTATATGTTTGTTAAAGCAAGCAGCATAAATGTTCTTAAGTGCAATGCGATTGTCTTTAGGCGAAAGTGCAAAGCTGTGAAGGATTCCAGACCATATGGGAAGAAGCAGGGTAGGAAAGAGCCATCTGTGATGGAAACAGCCTGTGTAACTCAAAATAAGAAATAGGGCAAAGTGAGGCAGGAAGGGTAAGAGTAGATGTACGAGTCCTTTTTCATGCACTGTGTTCAGGGGTATGTTTAGACATAAGCAAGGTACAGGACTGGGAGCTGCTAGAGGAGCAGGTCTGCTTGGATTCAGCTCCTCAGGAAAGGAGCAGAGTGTGCTTGGGCTGTGGCTGGCAGCAGCACGTCCTGCCCAGGCAGTGGGGAGCTTTGCAGTAGGCAGAAGGTAAAATTTATGTACACAGAAAGAATAACAGAAAATAGAAAACTGGTTTAAAGGGTGTCATTTCTGGCTTGTGGCCTTGTTAATGGGATGATGAAGAGGAACTTGGAACAGAAACACAGTGAGGAAATGAAGAACAGGTGCTACAACTTGCTAGTCCATCTGACAATTCCTCCTGTACTCCAGGGTTAGGAGCACCTAAGAAAGTTATTACCAGGATATGGCTGAAACAATCTTCTTAAGGTGTCTAACTTTATTTAGTAAATTCACTGAAGTGATAAAAGTGAGTGACTTTTCCTTAAATGGAAAGGTTTTCAGCAGTGACACCAAGAGATGAAACTAAGGAGCTGGAGTGAGGACTGAGGATTTCTTGTTTTCTGAGGCAATTATAAAGGATCCAAAGGGTCTGCCAGATGGGAATAAGCCATAACTGCCTCTAACACTTGTTTTCCTACAACAGGGAAAATTGAGCAGACAAAACTCTCAAAGTATGTCTGCCAAAAGCCAGAGGTAACAGAGACACCCCTAATAGTACCTCAAGTACTTAATACTGTTCCCTGTGTTGTAATGAAAACAATTGTTTTCCATAGTAACTGCAGCAACATGTTACATGTGTCTCCACTCAAACAGAGTGAAATGAAAGAATGGAAGGAGGAATAAAGTGTTTCTCAACAGCAGCCAGATTTTCTAGCTCAATTCTTGTAACATTTCCATGAAACAAGTGCTTGTTGTTGGGTTTTTTGGTTTGGGAGGAGCTTAAGGGCAGATGAGGAATTTCTGTTCCCTTTTGAGATGTAGGAATTTGCAGCTACAGAGAGAAAAGAAAAGAAACATGTAAAGGTCCAGCTGAGAAAGTGTTCTCAAACATGCTCTGGAGAGGATTTGTGACTGTGTCAGTCCACAGCTACATCTGCTCTCTGTTTGATCTGAATCTTACATTTTTTGGTGGAACATACCCAAAGCCTTTTGCTTCTCTAACCCTCCCTGAATGTGGTGACTTGATTTTCAAAAGGGAAGTTCAGAGAAAGCTTGCTGTATAATCCATGACTAGTCTTCAGCATTTTGTATATAGATGGTTCCCATAGCTTCTCTGGCTTTGAACTTAAAAGTAGAAAGTCTCTGGCATCACTTGAAGGGTTCCATCAGGAAATGTATGCTGAGAGGTAAGATAGGTCCAGTAGCCTTTTTGTGTACTCCAATATTTCCTGAGAAACAATGAGCCAGGTTGTCAGGCCTCGTTTCTCTTCAGGTGGATTTGGTAGGAGCAAAAATTGTTCATGGTTTCTCAGTTGCAGTTGGGATATGGTTGACTACCTTTGTGCGTCTGCTGCGTGCCAAGTTTAGGAGTAATCATCAAAATAACCAGGGTGACTTTTGATCAAATATGCTTTTCAAATGCATCAGATTTTCAGGATCCCCACATCTTGGTCATTAGTTGTTTTGTTTTCTCTCACAGAAATTCCTCCAGGGTGTTAGTGTCTGTTTAGTCCTGAAAAAGTGTTGGAAAGTCTGATAAATGTAGCAGCACTGGCTTTGTAGGGATGAGAGTGTTCTCACGAGTTTCAGTTTGCAGGGCATTGTCATTAAACATCATAAATTCAGCATTATGGGGAATCGTGACATTGCAACCAACATTTGACTTCCTTGCTGCATCTTGGTTGCGCTGCAGATGTAGGGAACAGCTCCAAGCAAAGGATTTCAGGTCCTTTTACTTAGGAAGTCTGAATTCAGTTCTGATGACTTCATTCCTGATGGAAATCCAGGGATTGAACACCTGGAAGGAGATAACGTGTGTGCTGTGCTCCTCACAACAGTTTTTTCTGCTGGACTGCTGATCCCTGCAGTGGTTTGTGAACTAACGTGTTGCTAAAGTGACCAGCAGGACTATCCTGGATGGTTCTTTGTATGGCTTCTACAGAGTCTCTGACAGGTGTTGTTTGATTTTGTTCATTATTGTTGTCAGTCTAGTCTTTTACACTGTATGATTTAGAAAACCTCTTCCCCTCTCACACCACTCCTTCCTCTACCAAAAAAAAAACCCAAAAAAGCCCAAAAAAACCCCACTTGCCTCACAAGATTGTGGAATTTGCCAGAATGCTTGCATTTGTGTTGACATTTTTCCTAAATTCAGTTTATTTTCAAGATGTATGCAGAATTCTTCACTTAAAATTGCCAACGTTAACGGTTTCAGATTGCTCTCAAAAGTTCCCTTTTGTTTTTCAGCCTACAAGAACATCATCAGAGAGCATTTATTCCAGACCAGGTTCCAGTATACCTGGCTCTCCAGGCCACACTATCTATGTAAGTACTCCTTCTGATGGATAAGGTGCTGAGCCTTTGCTTGCACATGAACCACTCATGCTGAAATAAATCACTTTTATACTGATGCTTTATTTTAGTGCTTAAATCGTTAAAAGCTTGGCCATGTAGCTTTTATAGCTACAGGATTTCAAGAGCAGGGTAGGCCTTTTCTAGGTCACATTTCTCTTGGGAAAGGTACAGTAAAACTTTTGATGTCATTTGGTGGTGTGAAGACAGACAGAGGGCAGAGGGGTCATTAGACTTCGTAAGGATTTTGTGAGGAGATCTGTGCACTTTGATACACAATTTTTGAGAGTTCTGCTCTCTTCACTTGGGAAATGTGAGGAGCAGGGTCAGCTACACCGAAAGAAGCCTGGCTGATCCACCACCTTCCAAGTCAGAAATCAGATTTTTTGATTGTGGAGGAAAGGTATTTTTAATTTAGGAAAAAAACATTATTAAGCATAATGCTAAATCACTGATTTTATCTTTATATTTTGCCTTGAGATTGTATAGATGAAAATGTAGAGTAAACCACGGAAATTTTGCAGTTAAATTTATAATAAGGCAGAAAAAACGTACAAAATTACAAATCTCACGTCCTGAATTAAACTCTAGTTCTATGCATTTCAACAACCACAAAAATAAGCTGATATATGAAAAGTGTTGACACTGCAGATATCAAAAGACAAAGCATGTCCTGGAGAACTGCCATTCTGTGGGTAATATCAACTTCATAAATTGTAGCTTATGAAAATTAATTGCTGCTCAAAATCACCATCTGTAGAGTAACATGGCAGCCTCGATTGGGGTCTACAAAAATATCTGTAATAATTTATATTGGATTAAGAGTATCCAGACATATTTGCACCTCATTAATAAGCTGATAAAAATACTATAGAAATAACATATATTGTTATAGCTAAATATTTTAAGGATTAAAATGGCTTAAGGTATGTTTTTATATCTGGTAATTAAAAGCTAAAGAGATTTGAGTCTATTTGTAGAGAGAGAATGTCCTAAATATTTCAAAATTTGCTTCTCTAGTAAGAAAGGTTTTGTATTGTTTCTAGTTTAAGGCATTGCATAAGAACCACCAAGACCAGTGGTTGTTAAAGAGCTTGCAAAGGAAAATGCATATTAATCTGAAATTATTAGGTGCTATCACTCAGAAAGAACAGAACTGAATGTAAGTTTACTTATGCAATCTACTATGAATAAAGTATCTTGTAGAAGTGTTTAAAAACAATTTGAATATCCTCTTTCCATTTTAGTCATCAATGTATTTATGTAAGGTAGGTAAAAATGTATGATGATTTATTTGAAGTCTTTCTGTAAGTAAAGAAAGATATTAGTTATCTAAACTAAATGTAAGGCCTCTTTCTATCTCCCTGTAATGGGTGCAGCTGACTTTGGAATGTATTTCCTACTTCTATTTTTTAATTAGTCAAGATCTCCTTGCAGTCTTAGTGGAAAAAATAGTCCATGCATGCACCATGTAGTTGGTAAGGAGCAGATGCCTTAGTCAGAAGCTTGGGCATAGGATGAGCGATGAATGCAATGTAATTGTTTTATTTGGGAGTTTGGATACCCAGTCCTGACAGTCCTCCTTGTCTTTTTATTCCCTTCCAATAAGTTCTGTTTCCTCTTGTGTGCACAGTTATAAATTGAGTATCTGTCTGTGATCTTTAGCATGAAATCCTTTTGTAATCTCTGTAATCTGCAAACTAAATTGATGTTTTCACCCATTTTACATATGGGAAAACAAGAGCAGAAAGGTGAAAATACTTGCCTGAGGCCACAAAGTGAGTCATTGGCAGAGCTGAAGTTTCCAGCTCATTACTGGGGATAAAAAACTTTTGTAACATAACTAGATCTATATATGCCATGTTCTTTCTTCCCCAAGAGAAGAGAAAGCACTGTGAGCTGCTGCAGAGGAGGCCTGCTGGAGAGAAACAAGAAGCATTCACTCCACGTGTAGGGTGCCAAAAAGGGGTTTCCATAGCAACAGTGTGACAACAAATACACAAAATCATGAATTGTATACAACAGAAATTGCCAGTGCATTTGTGTAAGTTAATTTATCTTCTGTCTTTGACCTTTAGGCAAAAGTAGACAATGAAATCCTTGATTACAAGGATTTAGCAGCCATTCCCAAAGTCAAGGCCATTTATGACATTGAACGTCCAGACCTAATTACTTATGAGCCATTCTACACCTCCGCCTACGAGGACAGACAGGAGAGACAGAGTCTTGGAGAGGTAATGACCCACCAGCACCTCATTCCACTGCGCACTGCATCCACAGCCTGCTTTGCTTCCCATTGGCACTCCTGGAGGTCGTTGCTGCTGCTGTTCACTCTGCTTTGTGTCTGTCTGATCTGGGGGTACTGGGAACACTCACGGAAATGCAGGATTAGCCACTTACATTAACACCAGGGGAGAGGCTTGCAGGCTGTCTCTGTGTGCTTCCTCATAACTCCCACGGATATCCTAATCTTTGGGAATGGCAAGGTCCAGAATGTGAGTCAAAAGCCAATGTGCTGCTGTGCTGTGGAGCACCAATATTCATAAGGGAATGGGAGGAATACCATGATAGTCTGTGGACTAAGAGCAGCAGGATACTTATCTCACAGATACTGAAGGAAAATATATATATCTCCAGAGCACTTTGCCAGACATACTGGATAAAATTGTGTCAGGATGAAGTGCTCTTCCACCTGGGAAAGCAGGTTGATTGTGTTATAGAAATACCTGCCTCACATTTTAACCTGCTGATGTTTTGTAAGGATTCTTGTATCAGGCAGCAACAAGAAAAAGCTATGTCATTTATTCTTGTAAACTTGCATGTGGAGGTGTCTTTCAGATTGTCGGTCCCCAGTTTTCTCAGGTGAATTTCCATAGCTGCAATTACTATTTACATGATTCCAGTGCAGTCTGTGAGGCAGGTTTTGTCATGTAATACCATCTGTCTATGAATCAGACTTCCTGAATGCAGATCTAAATGGACGTGGAAATGGATTTACCACTGCAGTCTCAGTGACCATACTGACTGTAACTGAATTGACTATGAAGATAAATTCAAGAAGAAAGAATTGCAGTAAATCATTCAGGCACCAGTGGTCTGTAGATGACCAGATCAGTGTGACTGATAATCTGCTTTCTTACCAGTGTTCTGCCCTCCAGCAGGTCAGAACTGCATCATTTTTTCTTCTTTGTTCTTTAATGTTTTATAGAGTTAGGTTTTTAAATCATGAATTGGAAATTCAGCTCAGGAATAAAATAAGAGATTAACAGGTCAGAACATTACAGAATTTCTCCAATTTATGTTGGTAGTGATTCCAGCTGGCATCTGGTTCAAAACCACTGAGATGGAGTGGTGACCTCTGACCAGTTCCAACAGGCCTGACCCATTCCACAAAACCTGCTACAAACACATGTCTCTTGTTAGTTACACAGGGGGAACTAATCTCACCAGAGAAAGTGAACTTTATGTTAATCCTTAAAGGGAAGCTTCTTACAGAAGGGGCTCTCACCTTCTTTTCAGAAGATCTTGGGTTTTAACCCAGTGCTACTGCTGACTTCTGTCACCTTGGGCAAGTTGCCTCACCTCTTTGTATCTGTTTCTCGTCCCTTCCCTTGCCCTAATGAGAACACAAGCCCATTGGGGTGGAGTGATCCCTTACCCTGTGTTTGTGTTGTGGTAATGGAGTGACAGCAATCTTGGTAAAACGTACATCATCCCCATCATCTTTAAAAAGCAAAGAAGGTGGCACGTCTAGTTGTACAGACAGTGATTTATCCTGCATTCTCTTTGTAAGGGATGTGTATGTGGTGGTGTTAAATTGCAGGTGACCCTCAGTTTATGATTGTAGATTAGACATGCCCCCTCACCATGATTTACAAAGAAAAAAAATTTAAAAAACCACCGGTCTCAGCAAAGAAAGAATTTTGGGTGTACAAGGGGAGATGTGCAAGAGGCACCAAAGTTAACCCAATAAAAAGTTAATCCAGAGACGGACACACACGGTAATTCTAGGGAATGGGCTACAAGAAAACGATCCACTTTAACCCAGCACGGCAGCGAGCAGAGCCGCGGGGCCGCGCTCCCGGCGCCGGGCGCGCTCCCGCTCGCTCGGTCCCGCGCGCTCCCGGCGCCCTCTCGTGGAGCGCGGGCTGCCTTGGACACAGAGCTGAGCGGAAACGTGTCTGCTGCACACGGAGAAAGCTACAGAAACCGCCAGGTGCTCTTCAGGACCTGTCGCTTCTGCCCTGGGACCAGCAGCCTGATGAAGTGGCCCTTTTGCAGCTCCAACTTTTGTTGGGTATATACCGCGAAGCAGCACTTTATGTCCTTTACTTCAAGTATTCCGTTTGTTGGAAGCACTAAATGCTCTGAAGCACCTTTCACTTAATGAGCAGACATAAAATGAAAAAAGGATTTTATTTTCTAACATGATAGATGCTTCAAAATAGAGCAGGGATCCTATCTGGTAGTTCGAAGACAGCTAAAGAGGTATCAGTGTGAAATGCTGAAACTTACGTTGCAGAACGACACCTGTAAAAATTAGGAGAAACTTCCCAGATGACAAAGTGATCTGTGTGACTTCAGGTATCAGAGCAGACTCTCAGATTTCAAAGCAATAGAGAACTGAGCCTATTACAGTAGAAAAAGTTTGGTCTGAATGAGCCTTCTTCCCCTTCCCTTTCCTCTTTCCCTTCCCCTTCGTCATCTGGAGTCATCACTGTATTTCCACTGGCTTGCTGTTTTGGAATGGAGCTGATTTGCTCAGTTGCCTGCACAGTGTGTTTCAAACTGATCATAGTGTGGCCTTCTGGGATAGACCAGGTTTTGAAAGACCTGGAGAACCCAATGTTCCTTGGCAGCCTCAGAGTTTGAGATCTGACAGTTCACCTCTGCATGATAAAACAGTGACTTGGCTGCAGAGCGAGGTTCCATTTCCCAAAAGGCAACAAGATGGTGTCAGCTAGTGATGGAGCAAAAGTACATGAAAGGAAAAACACCTGGATTCAGCACGCTATTTTCTGGGCTGCCTTCCCAGTCTTAGATTCCTATGACTGCCTTTCACTTTAGCCATTACCTCAGCATCCAGGTAACCCCAGCAGATGATAGAAATGCATTTATCTAGAGTAACACATGAATTGCTACAGAAAAACATGGGAATGCACGTCACAACATGTGCTTTTTTCATTCCTATTGAAAGTTTTAGGTTAGCTCTCAGTTTTTGTAGAGAATGTTGTTCCAAAGCACTTTGTATGGCATGTTTCATGTGGAGCAAGGTTTTTACAGCTGCTGCTGTTAGAGGATAGGAATTAGGGAAATATGAATGTAAAAGACTTTCAAGGCTTTGATGGAAAGTAGCAAAAGCAGTCTTTAGCAGCTTTATGGAAACTTGATGGAAAGGAGATGTCCTATATCCAATAAAAAATGTTGCTCCTTTATTTGGATACTTAGCATTCCCAGTATCACCAGCTCCATGAGAGTGAATAATCTCTCAATCCAAAATTTATGGATATTTACCAGCTGGATATTTTGTTACCAGAGACTCTGTGTGCATTTTACACTACTGCTGCTGTACATTACTGTAGTAGTTAGACAAGAATCAGCAGTTTTGGTTCTGAGATATTATCTTAATAACTATATCAGTCTATAATTTTGGTCTTAATTAAAAGCATAATCTCTTGCCCAATTTATTATGACAAATAATATTGAAGTTTTGTGCACAAAGGAAATAATTAAAACCTGATCTCCCAGCTTCAAATTGTCTGGTAGTTGGAGAGCATGTAACTGGTAATTACACATAGCCTTTATTCTTGTTTGTACTGTCAGCATATGCATAATCATATGTTTCTTCTAAAGGTATTTCTTGCCTCAGTTTCCCTATCTGTGTTACAGAAACTTTTCATAATATTGTGCATATTTCTGCCCTCTGGCCTCTGTGCAGTTCTTTCAGTACAAATGCTTGTAATTCCTGTCTGTTCTCCTTACGTAACCATAGAGGAACACAGAGATTTAAAGGAGGTCATATCAAAGAAATGCTGATGACAACTATGTGCTCCTTTGCATGGGTATGAAATGTAAGGCCTTGGGGAGAAGCAAATTTTTGCCAGTGTGTGTGTGTTGGAGGGAAAAGATGCTTCATCCTGAAAGATATTCTGCATTTTGATTTTCCATGCAAAACTCTGAGTTAAGTTTATTTACTTTGATTTCCATTTTAAAGATTTCTTCATGACAGGCATGGTTATTAAATTAATAACTCTTTTTGATTTTGATCTTTACAGCTGTGTTAATTACCACAATGATTAGATGGCTAAGATGATTTTGCATGATACTTGACTGAATTAATCATGCTTATAAAGATTCTCCCAGAAACTTTAAACATCAATGATTTACAGACCAGTCCCTGAGCCATGTGGAAAAAGCTGGTTCCAGTGCCAGAATGGCCTCAGTAATTTCTGCATTGCCACTTTGCATTGTCATACGTCAGAACATCTGCAGCAATGTGTAGATTACCATTTTCTAGCCCAGCATATGCAATGATATTTCATAACCTTATTTTTTATGTCTTTGCAGTCTCCAAGGACATTATCACCTACCCCTTCTGCAGAAGTAAGTTTGGTGGAAGATTTGGGGACAGTGTCCTACTGTGATTAGAATCATTCCCTCAAGGCAGTACAGGAGTTGGGTTTGTTGTCAGTCAGATCCAGCTCTCTTTGCCACACAGGCATGTTTTCTCAATGCTGAAACTTAATAAAAGTATTTCTAAGAAGAAAACAAGAAGCTCTTATTGAGAGATTGTACATAAACTGGAGCTGCCACTACTCCCTCTTGCTGTCTGTAAAGCAGAGCCCTTTTTCCAGCAGGTGTCACTTCTGGTACATTCCTGCTCCTTGTGGCACAGGCAGATTCAGATCTCGAGAGCTGCAGGATTTACAGGATATAAAATGCTGCTCTAAACATCTAAATAATAACCCATGTTTGCTACTGAAACATTTGCAGTTTCGTCTTGAAGAAAAGATAACTATGGTCTGGTTTGGTTTTGCTGTTCCAGCGGAGTTAATTTGAACATCATAATAACATGAAAGATTTGGGAAGTCATTTGTCAGGATACAACAGATGTTCTTGCAGAGCCATTATCATTGCATTGTCCTGTTGCTTATTTGCAACATAAAAGTTGTACTTATTGCTACTAGTTAAAAATTAAGAGACTATAAAATTTCTTGTAAGTCTTCATGCATTAATCAGTCCTTTCCCTTTTGTCCTGGTTTAGTTTGCTTCATGGAGGGGTGGGGGGATAAGGGTGTTGTTTGTTTTGAGATTTTTTGTTTGTTTCTTTTATTGGCTTTATTTACCCTCAGGAGACCAAGTACACTGAATTTTGCTCTACAAGGTGTCATGTTTTCAGATGCATATGGGGAATCTGGTTTGGATATAAATGCCTGCTGATGCAGCTGGTGACACACGGTGAATTTAGCCACAGACAGTTCTGTGCTGCAGCTATTGAATTCTTGCTGGTCTCCAAGTTAGCTCACTGATGGTCAGGTCGTGTGTCTTTGTGCAGGACATTGCAGGACACACATGCTCTGGATGCAGCTTCCTTTATGGAGTCAGGGAATGTGGGAAAATCTAGGATTATTATAGTTTAATAGAAATTACAGGTGGATTTGGAACTTTCCAAGACTGAATTCTGACTATAAAAATGGGTTGGAGCAGATCCTTGGAGAGCAGTGCTAATGAAGTAGCTTGAAAGCTTAAGGGATGCTGCTATTTCAGTCGCTTCTGCTGATGCCTTCAGATCCATGGAAGTTAAGTGCTGCTAAAAATGTGTTCTGTGCATTTACATTTATCAGTGGATGCCTCTGTTCTGCAGGGCTACCAGGACGTTCGGGACCGCATGATTCACAGGTCTACCAGCCAGGGCTCCATCAACTCTCCCGTCTACAGTCGGCACAGCTACACCCCCACCATGTCACGTTCCCCCCAGCATTTCCACAGACCTGGTAAGGGCAACTGCATTACAAACACATGCAAAAATATTATTTCTTGAATATGCCACTCAGTGGTGCAGTGACATGCTTCTTTCTCTTAGAAATGGAAGTTTAGGATTGGAAAATTGTTGTGTATTTTAAATGTCTTGTTTTCTACCTGTTTTTTTTTGCTCTGGATTGACATAGTCTTTTTGCACTAGGCTGACTGTTTCTTGCATCATAAATATGCATCTTTTGGTTTTGTTTCCAATCAGCTCTTTTTAAAATATTTATATGTTTCTGAAAGCAAGCAAAAATTTGCAGCGGTGAATTGAAAACTTCATTCTGGAATTTGGGAAAAGTATCACATATTGGAAACAAAAATTATGGCTTGACTGTACAAAAGTTAGTAATTTAGTTTTAGTCCCTTGTAAAAAATTTCTTTAAAGCTTGGTGCAGACACAGAATCTCATATTCAGAAGCAAAGCACCCCTGTGTTCCAAATTTCTAGTCATTTTTTTAAAACATGGACTCAGAAGGCATCTTTTTAATTAAAGCCATAGGCAGTTGCCTGGGAGCACTTGAAAATATAAACTTTACTTTCTGGTTTAGCAGTGATGTACAAGTCCTAGGTACAATATAGAAAATGTACAGGTCATTCAGGTTCCCAGTGCCATCAAAATTACTGGTTGTGTATCTAAAAGCAAGATATGAAAACGAATTATTCATCCACACCCAAACTGCATAAAAACATATCACTAAATGCTATTCATTGAAGAATTTTCAAGACTGATTTTATTGTGTATGGTGATGAATTAAATCTTTGTGATCTGTTTTTAAATTAAGTGATGCAATTACATGGTTTCATCTTCCTTGGTGATTACAGCTGAACAGTTGGGATGCCAAAAGCCCATATGCAATAGGAGCTGCATTTTTAAAATTAAAGATTTATAATAGAGCCACCACTGTGGAACTTGAATGCTGTAGCCATTTCCTAGTGGGGGTGGGCTGAAAGCAGCCAATTGTGTCTGTCAGTGAATGCCTTATTTAAGGGACCCAAGGGAGGTGGGACAGAAGCAAATTGTGTCTGATACTTAGTGCTGACAACATGACTGTGTTTTAAGATGACGATTACAACTGAAACTGAAAGAGATTTGAAAACATGAAAAAGCTGCAAACTTCTGTCCCTTGACTCTCCAGTTCTGGGGGGATTTTTCCATTTTTATCTGCTGTCTCAGGGATATGAACAAATCCAGGCTCTATTCCAGACTTGACTGTAACTGAGTTTTACTGTCTATGTTCAAAGACTTTCCCCAGAAGCAATCTCTGTTTATCTAACTCTTGTGATGGGCAGATGGGCTCAAGCTAGAGTTGTGATCCAATGTAAAATCTTCCAAAGCCCACAGCCTGAAGGATTTTCTGGAGAGATATTTGTTCAAACTTACCTGTGTTAAGATGATCTCATCTTGGGCTTACCTGTAACTGATCCTCATATGACACAGAAGTAATTCTGTACAATTTATCATTTGATGTTTCCTACCCTGTTTTGGGGTAACTGTTAAAGCTACTTTAATAATTTTCCTCCAGTAATTATTTATTGAATAATAGCATAAATATACATTTTTTTCCTCCTAATGGCACTTCCTTTTACCACGTTATTTTGAAAGAACAATTTCTTTCTGAATAAACCCAGTGGCCCCAGATCATTTATCTTTTGCTGCCTGCCAGGCCTTGAGAGAGAAGTGAACTTGTACTGATGTTGTCAGCATAAGGTTCTTCAAAAATTGAATTCCTACAAGTTCTGAAAAAGTTTGCAGCCTTTTCCTCCCGTGGTGCCCTAGCTGATGTTGGCAGCATTTTTGGAATGTCTTAAAACAATAGAAAACAGTTTGCATGCCTCTTGACTGACATTTTTTGGTCAGGCACTTTTCAAACCAATTGCTTTCTTAACTAATTGAGCGTCAATGTGATGTTTGCATGCTGGTAGCAGGCTACTTTCTGGTAACAAGGCATTGGTCAGAAGCTCATTAAGCCAATGATGTTATGCTAAATTAGCCATGCGGTTCAAACCTAAGCCTCTCTTCTAACGCTTCCTGTAACTTTGTCTTAACATTTACGGGCCCTTTGGTGCGTCTTTAACCGTTTTGTTTTCTTTCTCCTTCCTTCTTTCCAGAATCCTAATTGTTCAATGCCTTTTTTTTTCTCCTTCCTTCGAAGCCTCCTTCCCTGCCTGTCTCTTATTGCTTTTCTTTGTCTCCGTTCTGTCCTGTCCCCCGCCTCCCCGCTGCCGCAGAGCTGCTGGCTCTGGGTGCGCGGCGCGTGGTACCCCCGCGCACAGCCCATGGTACCCACAGCGGCCCTGTGCTCCATGACTCCCGCCCCAACTCCCCATTCCGACACCACTTCATCCCCCATGTCAAAGGTAAGGAGCCAGGCCTCTCTCCAGGGAGTACCCTCCAGCCTGGAGATTTGTTAGCGCTCTGGCAGAGCTGAGAAGGCGTGTCTCTGGGAGGTTGCCTATGGCTGTGTAGCTGAGCATGCCTCGAAATGTGCTGTTGCACTCAAAACTACGTTTAGAATAGACATAATGTCCTTTTTTCTGGAGGAAATATGTCATTTCTAAGGGCCCTAGCTGAAAAGTCACCAAGCATTTACCTGGTAGAAAAACACAGAAAGGCATTGTCATTTATTAACCAGAACCTATATGTGCCTAATTTAGCTTCTTTCTAAAGCAGTACTCAACAATCCCTTCTGCAGTTATTTTATCAAATCTTATTATTACTACCACATTCTTAAAACATGCAGTGAAAAAACTGATTACAGAGTTTCCTGAATGAGGACAAGGTGATCAAAATATGGAGAAGAAAAGAAAAGAGATGATATAAAGATCAGTGGCAACAAGGAACTTAATCTTTGTTATTCACCTTGGCAATAATTAGGGCCCAACAAAATAAAATTAAAATCTCTAGGCCTCTTTTCAAATGGTGCAAATCAGCAGGCTCTGCTGAAGGCAGTAGCACTGCGAGGATTTACATTATTTGAGGATCTGGTCTTTTTTTCAGTCTTTTGTTTTCCATGGTTTGATTTTGAAGGAGGATTCTTTTTTTCACTGTGTCCCCTCAAGGAACTCATTTAGCTCAATAAGCTTTTAGTTCTTGCTTTTTGTGTATGTGGATTTACTCTGAGCTCTATTGGAGCACTTGGCTGGGCCATCTCTTCTGTTTGGGGGGAGAAGGTCATAGCTCATATCACCTACAAGAGCTCAAAAGGAGAAAGTTGAGTAAATTGAAAATGCATTCCAATCTGGCACCACTGATTAATGTATATATTCATAAACTGGAGATAATCAGAAGCAGTTGCAAGAAAGCTGTTGCCATGAAGTTTCAAGAAATGGTAGTAGATCTCAACATCATAGCTCTTTAAGCATTTGGATCACCACTGGTAATTTTATTCTTGCCTTTTTTAAGATGATTTTTGATAATTTGCACTGTCCATTTTTCTACTATATTTCTATTTAAAAAATAATCTCACTTTAAAAGATTGGGACCCTTAAAAATAGCTATACTGCTCATTTCAGCATGCAGTTAATTCATAGTCCTTGCAATTTCAACATTTCTTTGCTGTAAATCCAAATTAATGCTCACACTCTTTCAAGTGGCGTTTTCATTTGTTTTCTGTTGAGAAAATAGCTTCTTCAACAGATAAATGAGAAGAACTATTAGAAATCCATGCTTATTGTTTTCAGATTTCAGAGAATCACCTGACATGTAGATCAGGTATATTTTTCAGTTATTGGTAGAAAAGGCCAAGTGGGATTGCAAGCGCTGTAGATGGCGGGAGGAGGTCTGAGTTTTATCAGATGCATTGTGAAAGATGTAGGAATCCTCAATTTTCTGAAGGCCTGGACAGCATTTATGTGTCATTACTCAGCCAAACTCCTGAAAGCTCAGATTCATATCACTGTGACAGAAGAGGCACCATGTGATCTTTTTACTGGCTCAGCGTTTCTCACTTGTACTTTTAGCAAGAAGGTGAACTTGATGTTGGTTTGTAAGAAAGATTTCACAAAACTGTAACTTCTGGGGTTTTTCCCTTTAGGAGTCAGAAAATACAGATCATATCTCAACTGCTTTGGTAAAGGGGCATGATTTCCCAGCAGCATAACTGGGAAATAATAAGATAACTGAAGCAGCATGTGACATGTTACACCCATGTTATTTTGTATACTCAAGCCAGAAAAGAAGACATTTAGACCAGTTTCAGTGTGTTTTCATACAACATAAGGCTTAAAGAAGCATAATGATTAAGCCTCATAGACACAGCCAAAAGTAAAGAAATTGGAGGAGTGAAAGGGACTAAATACGCCTCAGAGTGAGAGTTTGTTGATGTAACATATATGTTGAAAAAGCTGGAAGAGTGTGTAATATACATCAGCTTAGACTTCATTTAATCTAATTTGGACTCTCCATTGAATTTGGTCTTGTCTCAATAAAGTACTGTCTTTGCTATGAAAGAATCAAAACAAGTCCAGGAATGAAAGAAACCCTGACCCTTCTGAAATCAGAGACAAAACTCTCATTGAGAGTCAGGATTTCATCTTGCATGCCTAGAATTTTTCAGAGGCATTCAAGAATATTGCAAAGCCTCCATAAGATTTCCATGTAAAAGAGCTCCAAAGTAATGTGTATTTCTTTGCTCACAGACCTTCCCATGAGGAATCTACCCACCTTCATAGAGAATTTGGACCTTGGTTTTCACAGGTTCCCTCTTTCCTTCCCTGAGGCATGTCTGAAATCAAATGCTTTCTGTAGCTGGTAACTATTTCCAGAGTTTTGTGGATGCAGGTGAAAGTTCTGCTCTGGAAGACAATTGTGTATTGGCTTTTTCATGATTTTCAGTTTTGTATGTGAGATAAAGGCTACACTTCTGGACAAGAAGATTAATGATAGTTTGACAAAACCTGAATAGGAGTTAAGGGTTTCAGGTACTGTTGAGCTTGTTTTCCTATGTCTACTCAGAAGCAGAGCAACTAAACTGGAAGCTGACAGAAGGCTCAGTGTTGGTTGCAAATTGACAGAAGGCTGAGTGTTGGTTGCATATGGGTTTTTTGGCCTGATTCTGTGAGCTCAGCTTGTGAATCCCACAGTGAGCCCAGTGGTGAGCACTTCAGAGTGCAGCAGGGACCTGCATTACAGTGGGCTGTGTGTGGGCAAGCAATTCTATTCCTGGCTGCTAGGGCAACCTGCCTAACAAATTTAACTGTAAAAAACAACTACCTGATGGAGCAAAGAGAATGGAAGAAAAAAAAGACTCTGGATTTCCCTTCTGCTGTGCTCTAGTAATTAATTTTTAGATTAAGTTTGTTTCATTATCTCTTAACATCCCCCACCTACACATAGACATATTCAACTTCATGCCAAGGGCGTGAGAATTAGTTCCTTCTGCAGTGTTGGTGAACTGGAGTGCTCTTGTTGCTTTGGGGAGTTAACAGTAGTTACAGTATATCTGAGACAGTGAGATATTTCTGTGCAGGCAAGGAACCCAAATGTAATGGGTTTTTATGTAAAGCTGCAAGCAGGCTGGCCATGAGGAGACAGGTACAGGCAGCCAAGAGCTCTGCTTTCCTCTGTGTGTGTGTGCACATTCCGCAGAGGTTGGCACTGCTTCCGCAAATTGTGGCTGGTTTTGCAGCTGCTTCCCAAGCACTTAAACGTCCTTACGAGTGAGTTCCTCAGGGATGGCCTAATGGGATTCTAAGTAGATGCACCATTCCCTCTTGCAGAGGTTGGAGGCAGTGAGGCTGCCATCCTAGGAAATGTAAAGGGGAGATATTTCTCACTACTAGCAGGAGTCATTAGGTACCCCAGGAAAAAGAAGCCAACAGAGACATCTGTAAAGCATCACATGCAGGATGATACCACAGTAATTGTCTGCCTGGTACAGAGTGCATTATACAACATTTCCAGGTCCCTCTAAACAAATTATCTGTGTCCTAGATGTAAGACCAACCAGCATACATTTATGGGTGTAAGCACACTTAGTTGTGTCTGGAGGTAGAGAGAATCCTAAGAAGGGATTCTTCCCTGTATCTGTAGTGTTGGTGATAGAAGCATTGCAAATTGAACACACACACATTTAGTCTACCAGTTCCCAACAGGTAAAATATATTTGTGACTCCTCTGTTGTGGCAAGTCCACAGGTCAATAAATCCCTTTTTTTTTCTCTTCCACCGAGTGTAATTGCTAAAGGAAGCAAAAAGGCAGAGTGACATGTTCTCTATAAACAGCTAACTGTATCTTGAGACATATTAATATTGATTGGGTTTTTTTCTTTATAAAACAATTATTTTGCTGAAAAGCAACTCATAATTTCTTGGTAGAACCAAAAAACATAAGTAAAAGCAAGTTTCACCATCACAGTATCTCAAAGGGTGGAGAAGTAGAATACAATATTGGAATTGCTAAATAAAGGGCCATAGATTGAGCGATAACAATAATGTTTAACTAATCATTCATGCTGCTTTTCAGAGTTAGCAAGCCTAACTAAATTAGGCCAGAAGCTCAGCATCAGTGCAGCCAAAATAGAAAACCACCATCAATGCATGTGGTTGAAAGAACATCACATCACTTAGGGCTGAAATGTCAAAGTTTTAAATATAGAATTTTGCATATGCATTCTTCTGGACAAATTTTGTACAGCCAATCCCCCTGAATGATGCATGTAATTTTTAAAACATTCATATGCAGTGAGTTAACTTGTATACTGACTGAGGCCTCTGGGGCACATCTCAGCAAGGTTTGTAAAGAGCATTTTTTCCCCCTTTAGTGCCTTTTAGATTGGCAGATGACTGTTAAAGTAGAAGAGGATTTTTTGTGTAAATTCTAAATGAAACTTTTTATCCTTCTCCCACACCTATTTCCCCATATCAAATAGATAAATAGCATGCAAAATAAGGTTTTGGGTCCTCTAACAAGACATAGGAAACAGGCCTGAAATTTTGAAATTTTTTTTTTCATACGTTTTATAGCCCTTCTGTATTTGTAATCATTCCCTCCTCTGCCCTCTGTTTTTTTCCTCCTGCTTTCTTAATCAACATTTCTAGGGTTTTTTAAGCCCTTGTGCATACCTTAAAAAGCTGAAGGGGTTTGATGCTTCCTATTTTTCACTGCTAAGGTCACCCTCACCCATGTGAAATAAGCACCTGTGTGGATGGTTTTTTCTTTGTGTGAGCTTGCTCTAGTTTGAAGACTGGTACAGTGAAAGAGGCAGCTGCATTCTTTCAAGGTACACACACAGAGATGTGAATGAATATCTGGCTGTTAACTCTTGTTACTTGGGATCCACCATCGTGCTTGTGCAGCAGCCCTCACTCCCTGACAAAACACAGAAACTTCCAGGACGGTTGGATTGCTCTGGTGCATTGTCAGGAGCCAAAGGGGAGTCACAGTAAGAGTAATCCTACAAATGGAACAAACTGTGTGTGCAAGCTAGAACTAAGGTTTTCAGGTATTAAGATTCAGATTTGCTTAATCAGCAGTGAAGTATTGTCAACAGAACCAAATTTACATTGACAGAGATTTGGCACAGCGTGAACGATGTGAACTGCTTTACAAATTATTTTGCCATATCAGAATTTTCCCAAACCAATGAAAGAGTGTGTAAGGAATAGTTATTACTTTTGATATGGGCCAAGCAACCTAACAGCTATTTTCTGTTTCTAGTTTCTGTACACTTTTGGTTTAGTGAACTGTAGTAACTGCCAGCATCTGCTTCTATCTGCTTTGGGTTTGCTTATCAACTACTCTGCTCCGTGTTTGTGCCTTTTAATTCCAAGTATCAACCTCTGTACTAAAAAATCATTACCAAGTAACCTTCCATTCTTCTTTTCTATACTGCCCATCTAATCACCAGCTACGAGCGCACAGCTCCTGCCTGCATGCCGTCAGAATGAGTCTGAGCTGCTCAAACCTCAACTCCAGCCTGAACATGAATTTTTGTCTCTGCAGGAATATCAGGGGGGAAAAATAAGTCACCAGGGCTACTACCAGTTCTCCTTATTGTTTGTATTTATACGTTTGGTTCAACTTCTTTTCTCCCTGGAGGTTTTGATTCCACCAGTTTTGCTTGGGTTTGATTGGGCTTGCTTTTTTTTTTTTATTTTTTTATTTTTTTTTTTTTACTGCTCTCCCTCTTCTCATTTTGTTTTCTCCATTCTTTCATTGGAGGCAATGAGCCGTCCAGCGGTCGGAACTCCCCTGTCCCCTATCGGCCTGACAGTCGCCCTCTCACTCCAACTTACGCTCAGGCCCCTAAACATTTCCATGTTCCAGGTAGGAGCTGGCACTGTGTGTGTCTCGCTGTCCTGTCACAGTGTAGAATGTAGCCTTTGTAACTTCTGTCTTGTCTCCATCCTTTCACACCGTTTACCATGGGTTGCACCCTCAGGGTTTGGAACTGCTTCTGGGCTTGCTGAGAGGAGTAGCGCCTTAAGAAATGTGGAGGTTTATTGTGATTTTTACCTATTCTCTTGGTCAGGCATTTTACTCTTAGAATGCTTAATTTTTCAGGGTCAGTTGATGGCCTGTGAGCTGTATCTGAGCTATGTGAGCTGTATATGAGCTATGTAGGGCTTGATTTTTCTCCCAGTTGCACCAGCTGAGCACCAGCATAGCTCTGCTAATTTTAGAGGAAATGGTTTTGATTGACAGGCAGAAAAGAGGCGGCAAGTGAGCCATTACATATGTTCATTCAGATGTTGTGAATTGTTTCAGTCTTGAACCCAACAATTCTAGTTTAGTGCCCCTTTCTTTTTAAAGCAGGTGAGGTTGTTTCTTGTTTTGTGCAATGGCTTGGTGTCCTCAGCGAGACCTGCTGACCCATAAGGATATGTGTGCCTTAGGATGTCCTTTCTACAGAGGGCAGTCTCTGTTTTGAAGTGAGCTCCACAGTTCTTCCAGTATCTGAGAAGACCATTTGTCTTGGATTTTGATGGGATGAGCTGTGTGTCCCTAGGGTTTGGACATGCATCTCTCTGCTTCAGTCCTAGCTGAAAGTCTTGTTCTATCCAGTTATTTTCAGATTCCTGTCAGCCTAGTGTTCCTCCTCACTGCCAGAGGTTACTGCCCTTCCTCCTCTCCTCCAATCTGGCAGATACACAGTTTGTGCACTCAGGGTGACCTGGCTCAGCTGAGGTCGGCTCTTTTAACCGCTTAAGCTCACCTGGCTCTCGGTGCCTCACCTAAACTCAAGCCTAATTGCATGAATAGCTGTGAGAAATGACCTGGAGCATGGTGGGAGAGCTCTCCTGGCCAGCTGGAGCCGTGCAGCCACGGAAGGAGCTGTGCTCCCATCCTCCCTGGAGCTTTCTGGTGTCCGTGTGCGCACAAGGACTGCATGACTGCCCTTGTAATGTTCATACCTGTTTGCTGGTCAAGTGGCCATAACAGATCCCACACAGGAATGAAATACCACAGTCTTTGTGTGCAATGAGTTTGCCTTTTTATTTAAGGATGTAGGGCTCTGCAGAGTAAGATTTGCCTCCGTTGCAACTCAATTTTAGGTTTAACTTTCCTTAATGCCAAAGGCAAAGATGTCTCCTACAACATTTTAATTGGATCTGTGATACAGCACATGTGTTTCTGAAATTCCTTTTCATCTTTCACTCTGATGTAACTGAAAACTTTCTTCAGGCAGCATAAAGTAGCAAAATGGGTTTCTGACATTAATTTTCTAGCTCCCTGTAGCTCAGTTTGCTCTTCTAATAACATTTTGGCACATTTTTGCACTGTAGTGCTGATTTTGGATTACCTTTTGTATTTGTAGCTGTGCTGAATACATGAAGTGTTGGCTGGGGTGGGAAGGTAGTTTAGAACAAAATGGTTCCTGGGTTAAATTATTATTTGGAAAAATATGGTATAATTTAGACATACTATAGATTTACTGCATTAGAGTTCTGGGAAGTGTTTTTATTCTGATTAACATAGGCAATATGCAATATGGTGGGCCTTGTATAAAAAAATTACAGAAAAAAAGAAAGAAAATCTGTCCCTATGGTTTGAGATTTAGTGGCATGTCAGTGAACACTGCATAAAGAATCCCTTTGACTCACTGAAGTGTGGCTGTTGTTGCCTGTTTAAAGCAGTGTCCTAGGCTGCTATTTTGTTCTCTGGATTTTGAAGTGTATTGTAGGCTCACTGCATTCTCCTCTGTTCAATATAGCCAGTCAGTTGGAAAGAAAATTGAGCTGTTCTGACTGAAGCACAATTTTCCACAAAAGTTATTTGGGGTAGTTTTCCCCAAATGGCTTGTATCTTCACCATTGAAATGTCTTGCCTGCTTACATTTTTTCTCTTTTATTCCACTTTAAAATTGATGGTTCATGAGTTGATGCATCCACATGTTACAGAATCAGCTCCAAAGGACTTCATACCACATGTCCTTGACTTTTCACTTGTTCCTATGTTTTCTTTTCTTTAAATAATCTGAATTTCTATAATACTAGAAATAGCTTTCTGGCTTTTTCTTGTGCTACATCCTTGATTTGGTCTATCTATTGCTTTAGTGGTGGAGTTATCTTTTTCTACAACTGAAGTAGTTTTTACATTCATATTTTTTCTGTTTCTTAATATCACAGATCAAGGTGTCAACATTTACAGGAAACCGCCCATCTACAAACAACACGGTAAATGACGTTTCCCTTTTTATTTCAAAATTGGAGTGTCAGCTGAATTAAAAGGTGTGCAGCTAGTGAAAAGCATTCACTTTTCAGTTTGTAAGTGTAAATAAAAATTTAGTAGCTTCCAAGCTTGAAGCAGCTGTAATTGCATGTCCTGGAAAGTGATTATGTTTTAAAGCCTGTTGTTTTGTTTGGATTGATATGGTTTAATCTTGCCATGTCGATCTTAATGGCAAAACTGCCATGAGCTGAGATTTTGCTATTTGCATTATGACAACTGCCAGCATTTCTCTTCTTTAGGTATATCTTTGAAGAGTACAGGTACTGGTCATGTTAAAATGGATTAACAGTAGACTGATCTCTGACAGGGATTTCACAAAATATCCTTATTTTAAACAGATACAGTACAATAATTTATTTCAACGGAAAAGATGGAGATGTTATAGTCAGACTGGAATTCCAAATGCACCTTTAATGTGGCTTTAAATAAGAATCTTTAATTAGTGAAGATATTATAGGTGACTTATCACTGACAGGGCTAATTTGACTCCCAGCCCTGTGATACAGCTCAGGTAGTTTGCTGTACTTGTTTTTCCAGGTGTTTGGGTTCTGAGTTGGACAGCAGTGTTAGTGCTCTAAGCTTTTTGGTGTTGTCATAGCAAGTCTGAAATGGCAATGATGGCAGAAGCCCACAGCCTTGCCTGTCTTTAGTCCCATAGGGGAAGCTGCATTATAAAGGAGGGTGTTCACTCTTCCCCTGCTGTGAACACAAATATGCATCAGAGATGGCGTTTATTTACCTCAGTGAAAGACGGATGACTCCACTATTTATAGACTCTGAATTTTTATCTCTTTGCAGATGTTTTATCCAGTAAAATGTATTTAGGGTGAAGTAGCAAATCAGCAGCACTACAGGGCTCAGATGAGCAGCTGGCTGAGAGCCACTGAGCTGGGATGAGCAGGAAAGCCCACAAGTCCATTCTGTAGTCAGGAGTGAGCACTGCACATTACACTGCTCTGATGTCACATAAGGGTTTTCCCCTCTTTCTTTTTTAAGTTTCAAACCATATGCTCATTTTGAAAAAAAAACTCTTAACATTGTTTCTGTTTATTTTTATGGTTTTAATGTATCTCCTCACCTCCCATTAACATGTGAATGTTTAACCACTGACATCACCAATTCTAATATGTAAGTACTGTTTGAAGTCATGCTTTTGTAAACTCTGACCAGCTTCCTCCATGTCTGCAATTATACTTAGAGTTTTCCTGTCATCAGATGCTCAGAATTCCCAATGATTTCTAGCACTGCTGTTGCTTAATTACCTGGAATGTCTTGGATGAGCAACACAGTGCATCACTTTGTTAAAAGATGTCTTTCTGTTTAAAAAAAAAAGAAAAAAGGAAAGAAAATTCTGGAACTGTTGCTTCTGATACAATAGCCTCATATAAGCAAAGGTGATTTGAGCTAGCATTTTCCAGCTCAGACGTAGTTAAGGTTACGTTTAATGTACATTGAATTCTATTAGATTATTTTTTAATGTCAAGAAGAGAAAGCCATAATGCACATCCTTATATGCTTTTACAAGGCTTTGGCTTAAAATGGAATTTAAGTGGAAGCCCCACTGCCAAGCTATTTTGTTGGTGAGGTTCATTGCTTTGCAAGTGCCTTGCCCTGCCAAGTTGATCTTAATGGAGTTTAGTGTTTATTGATAAGTTCATATCTGCTTTTACTACTACTGCATGTTCTAAGCAAGAGCATGCAGCACGAAAAAAAATCCCTAGTTAAACATACTTGTTTCAGGTTTCTTTTCTTCTTTGTTTTTCAGCTTTTCACAGATACAATAAGAAATAATTAGCATCAGTAGTGTTAGAATTTGTACTGTTACTCTGATCTATTAGTTAGCTTTCCCTAGAGGGAAAAACTTATTAGTACATAAATCTGAGTTCATAAATAAACAGCTGTCCTTAGGAGATATTCGCAAATACTGTTAGGCTGCATTTTCTCATTCTTGCCTAATCATTCTTACACTACGAAATCATAGTAAAATCCAAAGCTGATTTGGGGTTATTTTGGGGTGGGATTGTGGGAGGAGAGGAAGGTTTGATTCTAATCTATTGGCAAGAGAAAGGCATTACTCTACTTCAAACTGAAATTGAAAAAGCAAAACATGAAAATGTTTGCTTTTGAAAACTAACTTCTTGAAAAGTATGAAATTTTGCCAAAAATAAGGCTGACCTTTGTGCTGCTCCAGATTATTACATAGCTAAGTTCCCTGATTACCATCTAGATGCAGCTGCCTTGGCAGCACAGAGCAAGTCCTCCGAGGATATCATCAAGTCCTCCAAGTTCCCAGCAGCTCATGCACCAGCACCCAACGAGATACCAAAGATTGAGACTGACCACTGGCCAGGCCCTCCCTCCCTGGCTGCCATAGGTATGCAAACACAAACCCTTCATCTCTGCGGCTCGGAAGGTTCTGGTGACAAAGGGACACGAACAGCGCAGCTGGAAAAACGTGTAGGAGAGGTGGTGTCCACTCCAGATGCTCACACTGAAGTGCAGTTCTCCTGGTGAGACCACTGAGTATCTGAATCTAAAACTCTTGAATTGCGCTGAGTAGAAAAGTCTTTGCTAAAGGCCTTTGGGATTTATCCCACAGATATTAACCCATAAGCAAATTTTTTGAACTCTAGTGCAGTACCTTAAAAAGTGTGGTGTGTCACACAGTCCTGACTTCTTTCAGTTACTCTATTTAATTTTTTAGTCCTAAACTAATAGTAAAAAATTCCACAGAAAACATGATTGTTTCCCACCACATGACTAATTTCATGGCAAGAAGCAACAACTGAATTGGAACAATTAACAGACTAAATAATTCCTGATTTTCAGTTACTGTTTCTACAGACTTTGTATTTTTCTTCTGTGTTGTAGTACTACACATTACCTTATTTTCTTTTCTTTAATCCATGTGCATCATCAATTTAATTTTTTTCTTTGTATTTTTTTTCCTCTGTTGTGTTTTTATTGACCCCTACAGCATAAAATAAGTGATCTAGCCAGGTTCATTCCTGAAGTCATGTCTGAAGCACCGAGGTGTTGCTTGTTTCATGTCTCTGTGAGGGAATGTATGGCTTCCATAACAATGGGATTTTCTCAGAAGTTCTGGGAGAGGAGACACAGGGTGGGAGAGCCCAGAGACCAACTGAAGGGGCTGCACATGCAGCAACAGTTTTTTGAAAATGTCCTTTAGTTGAGATTGCAACCTGACAAACATGTAGAGTCCTTGAGTCACAGGAATAATATCAACATACTTGAAGTTTTGTCATCTACATACTTGAAATGTCTACATACTTTAAACCCTGAGTTTGTCTAGCACAGGGTTGGTAAATAACGATACCATATAAAGCCCTGTGCAGAAAAAAATAGAACTGCTGTCTTAATGCTTGCAGCAATGGCACATCATATGTATTCATGGAATTGTCCTGGCATCCAGACAGGATTATTTCTTAAGAATAATCAAGAAAATAAAAAATATTCAATAAAAACTAAGGAACTAAAATGTAGAACACATGTGCCATAATATATTTTAGCTTTATCCAATGGATCAAATTAGTTTACTTCATTTTAGACTAGAACCATTTTAGACTAGAACCAATTAGCCTTGTTTATTTCAAATACGGGTGTTCATTTAGGAGACTAATGTAGTTTAACTTTCCATTTGAAATGTTAATTCAGATTTACTTCTCTGAGTCTAGATAAAAGTGTAAATGTAAAACAAAACTGAGGTTTTCAGCTGTGATCCAGTTGCTGGTGTTACTAAACCCTGTGTTGCCAGAACCAGCAACGTGAGCGCCTTTCTCTATTATGGTGAATCATGACTTCTGTATCCAGGACCATTGCTTGTTTTGGAACTCATGTGTAGTTTAAGTTCTTGTTTAGTTTATAACAAGCCTGATAACCATAGGGCAAGGCTACTTACGTGAGTTTTATTAAGAAGGAGTTTTGAAAAAGTCTTTTGACTTTGCGAGAAAATACTGCTTAGTTTATTCAACAAATCCAACTGACCAGGACTTTGAACTAGCATTGAAATCTTTGAGCTGCAGTTGAACTGATGCACAAAGCTCTCTCTGTGCTGTGGTTTTGTGGAAGCAGGAGCTGACATGAGACGCAGATCAAGTGGAAGGGAGGAAGACGATGAGGAGCTGCAGAGACGCCGGCAGCTGCAGGAGGAGCAGCTCATGAAGGTGGTTATAAGCTTGTCCTCTTGCTGTTTCTGAACAGCATCCAAAAAGTGTCCCTTTGCTTTCTGTAAGAAATTCCTACCACTGTCTTGGTCAGCTTTATTTTATTGATATGTTTTTTTAATTGCCATTTGTAGCTCAACTCTGGTCTGGGACAGTTAATATTGAAGGAAGAGATGGAAAAGGAGAGTCGCGGTAGGTCAGCCCTTTCTGCCAGTCGTTACGATTCTCCAGGTAATTCATGGAGGAAATAAAGCTAATCATGAACAATGGGGAGTAAACACCACAGATACACATACCAAACAGTGGTCCCAGAAGAGAGACAGCTGGCAAGACTGCTTGATATGTGTGTATGTATGTGGTGATCTGCCCTGAAAGAGTGGCCTGATTCATCACCTGGTTTTGGTGAGGGGAGGACTGTTGTGGTTGTTTCTTAATTAGAAAAAATATGAGGCTGAGAATTTTCATGCAATTTTGAGGAGAGAGCTGCTTTAATATAGATGAGGAGTGGGAGGAAATGTTCAGTGACTATGACATCACACACACATTAATAGGCTGGGCTATTAAATTACAACAACACATTTTACTTACACTGGTGGTTTGTATCCCTGTGTAGTCTCTTCTCTCAGGGACAGAAATCCAGCATTATTAACCAGTGGAGCTGTATATTCCAAACACAGCCAGTGTTTTGACCTGGGATGACATTTTAATTGGGTGTATTTTGTTCCAAAACAAAAGCACTAAAGCTAGCTTAGATTGGTGACTTAGGTTCTTTTCCTCCTTGCACATTTTGATGTACAGCTGTGGCCTTCTCACATCTCCAGAGAAGGGTTTGGGGGTATTATTTTACTCTCTTCATTCACCAGCCATTATAACACAGAAGCTGTACTTTGAGCCAAGAAGAGACAAAATGAGTCTCTCTGGAGTCATCCACTGGAGCAGCTGCCAGGCAAACTAAGATTGCTTGTGTTCCCTGTTTTATGTGTGTTGCTTTGATGGCCTTGGAGAGGGTTCCTGTGGATCTCACTCACTGCCTTTAATTTTTACGGGGCCAGAGTCTACCTGCCAACTCAGAGCTTATATTTTTTTTATTAACCTTAGTGCAGGTTGGAGAACTCCTTTATTTGAGATGTGTCCATCCCTCTTTGCAGGTATAATCAGTGTAGTCATCAGTTCCCTTTTGGAATCAGGGGCGATGCCAAAGCTGATGCCATGGATGATCCATGAGCATTATTTTCAATCCAGTGGAGACCACCTTGATTTTGAGCCTGGAAAAATCAGTGTCCCTTATTAATGGCCTGCCACCATGGTGTGATAAAGCTGTTTGTAACTTACAGAACTTGTGGAAATTTGTGTTGAGTTTGGAACTGAGTTTCTTAAAGTCAGTGTGTCTCAGATGGTTTTGTGTATGTTTGGCTCTTTTAACTGTGTGTTTTGTACTAGGTGATTCCTCAAGTGTTTTAGTATCTTAGTTTCCATAGGATTTTTCCAGTAAAATATTTTCCCTTCCTTATTCAACAGCACATGCTTCAGCCTCCAAAACTTCTTCTCTCCCTGGGTATGGAAAAAATGGACTTCATAGGGTAAGAAGATGGTGATTTTGAGAAGTGAAAGGTGGATTTTATTATCCATGGTATTTATTTCCATATCAATTGTTTTGGGTTTTCAGTTTGATAAATGTTTCTTATAAAACCACCTGAAGGCAGACCAAACCTATTTTCCCCTCCCACAAACTACTTTGTTAAAAAGAGAAGAAAGCAGTGCAAGAAATGTTGTAAAATTGAGGGGGAAATAAAAAAATTAAAGTGATTTATTTCTCCCCATGTACCAAGATGCTTGTAAAGTCATGAACTGTGAATTTATGTTCTGTCCCTCTTTTCCTGTTACAGCCAGTCTCTACGGACTTTGGTCAGTACAACAGTTATGGTGATGTGAGTGGTGCTGTTAGAGGTAAGGATGAGGAGACTTTTACTGTCTATTAGTAATAAATGTAAAAATGCTGTGATGTTTGATCATTTCTGCTGTTTTACATTAAGGCTGTGGATGTGATTACTTTGTATTTGCTCAGTACTTTTTAATTTTCTCTGGCAAACTCAATTAACTCAAAGCACTTCAAATACCTGTTAAAAATGTTGGGTTTATTTTGCTAAATCTGTTATGTGGAACTGATCCTTGTTCATACTTTTTTTGGATCAAATGGAAAGCAAGTAACGTGTGCATTATCAGGAATATGAACTGATTTCTCTGAGTTTCATGTTTTCTTTCTCTGAAAATTTCCATTCACTGTGCAGTCTGAAAGAATGTGCCACAGTGAAGAAAGGGAAATTATGCCCTCTAATCCCCATTGCTGCTCATGATCTTCATTATGACTTTGAGCTGGATGCGGTACCAGTCAGTGCCAAATAAAAATTGACATTATTATTTATGAAAGTTACAAAATTTGAAGAGGTAATGAAAATAACTGTGATAATTGAAGAGTTTGACTCTACAAACTAAGTCCAAAATTACAAATGTTGCTGGCCTTAGAGAATCAGATGGGATTTTGGAAAAATCAGGAAGACCAGAAAACAGAGAAGGATTCTCTGGTAGATTGTAACTGATTCCTGTCCTTCCACACTCTAAAGCTGATGAGATTTCTCTTTTGCTTTTCAGATTTCCAGGTAGAGTACGGGTTTTCATCAGTCAACTGACAGCAGAACCTAAAGCAGCTACTTGTTCAACTCTGAATTTCTGCCACAGGAAAGGGTTTCTTAAGACAATAGCTTTGATTTTCCTGCATGTTTAAGCATAATCACCAATGTAGATCCTTATCAACAAAAAACAGGCACAGCCTCGGATTCCTCCTTGTTACCTCCCCAGAGCTGAGTTGAGACAGCTCACACCCGTTCTGTGACTTGCTCTGTAAAATCCACTGTCTGTTCCTGTATGAGTTATCTGTAATGGTCTTCTCTGGACATGGGAGGGTGGATTTATTTCCAGCCTCTCTAGCACTGACCCCAGAGACACATAGAAAGTCTCTTCCAGAGGAAATTTTCTCTCATACTAGGAGCTTTGAACTCCTCATTTTCACCCTGGAATTTGCTCTCCAGACAAGATGGCTGATCAGTAATATTTCTACAGTGCTGCCATCACAGATGAGCCAGAAAGAAGTGTGCTTGCAAATAGAAACCTTTATACTTCAATTACTGCCTGCAGGGTATTTTTCAGAATGGTTTGAGTCTGCCTGGCTCCTCAGCACAATCACAATATGAAATGGCAATTTAAGAAATTGTTTAATTAGTTGGATAATTTTTTTTAATGACATATCAAAATCATGATGATTGGAAAGAGAATAAGATTATGGGAGGGGAGCAGAGCTGTCCATGTATTGTTCTCCAAATGTTACTTCCTTAGATTTAATACCTGTGTCAAAACAGCACCTTTTTACCCTACCCTTGTTTGTGTTCATAGTAAAATTTTCCCATTATAGACAAAAAAAAAAAAGAAATCCCTCAGCTGTTACAGTAAATTACAAAAAGGAAAGCCCAGAGGTATAAGAATGCTTTCTGTGCTGTTGGGTGGTATCTGAATTAATGCTAAGGAAGAACTAGGGAAGAACTTCAACCTAGTCACTGGGGTGGGAGAGGGCCCACCACTCTCTTGGGGTGCCCAAGTCCCCCTGGAAAGCTGGAAAGTCAGCTCAGTGAGGGGCTGTCCCCAGCCTGAGCAGGGACAGGAGCTATGGTGGCTGAGAGGACTGAAGGATCCCTCTGCCTGCCTCAGAGGAGGAGTGAACAGTAGCCATGGCAATGATTGAAATAATAAGACAAATAATTAAGACTTGAAGGAAGTCTCAGGGAAAAAAATGACCTTTGTCTTCACCACTACTTGAGTGCCTTTACCCTCTGTGTGTGTAACCTTTGTGTCTGATGTGTACCTGTATCCGATGCAGTCCCTCCCGGATGGTCATGTCCCTGGAATGAGAATGGACAGAGGAGTATCTATGCCTAACATGTTGGAGCCAAAGGCAAGTGCAGATGTTATTCACTTTCCTTCAAGACATTGAAGGTTTTACTGTGAAATGCAGATAAAATATGGGAAATGTCTCAGTTCCCTTGTTTTCCTTTACGTCACCTGAGTCCCTGCTCCTTACGTGCCAAACCTGTCCCTTTGTTCTGGACTTTGTTCTGCAGGTGTTAGTGCTCAGGCAGGCTGAGGGCAGCCCAGGTGTGATTCCAGGGTTAAGGAAGCTTTTCTAGGGACAAAGTGACGGCTATGGAAGATGCTCCATAGCTGGTTCTCTGTCAGCTTTCACCAGTCAAAGCACCAGGCCAACCTCAATGGGAAGGTCTCAGACCTGTCCAGTTCAAAAAATGCTGCAGAATATTGTGGCTCACAACACACTGGTGAGGATGTCTTAATTCCAAAGATTTTGGAAAATCTTTGATTGGAAGTCAGATGCCTACATGTCTGTCTGGATCTGTTCCTTAGCTCTCAGCACTGGTTACCTGAGACCTGTCCATAGAGTTGAATTCCCAGTATGAGAAACTCTTCAGGAGATTTATTGGAAAAAGAGGCAATGTTTGCTAATTTTGATTTAAGATAAAAATTAAAATGTTTTTACAGCTATATCTAGAGATGCCTGAGTCAAAAATGAATATAATATATAGACAGAATTCAACCAGGGCTGTGTTTTAAATCTTAAAATTTATTGCTGGTGAACCTTCCATGAAATCATGATTTTGCCAAAGTTACAGGGATCAGAATTTCTGCAGTTAAGTGAGGAGCTCACTTTGCAAACCAGATTGCTTCTTGTGCTTCTGAGTCACCTCCAGGCAAACTGTACAAGGCAATAACCCTGGCTTTATAAGCTGAGACCCCAGTGCACTGTGCAGTTACAAGTGGATTATATATTATATAAATAAAAACGTGGGGAGTCCTGAGATATTACTTTGTACTCCAAATAATTTCTCTTTCAGTGCAATAGAACTTCTTACAGTCACCACTGCTGTTGATGTACCCAATGATTTGTGATGCTATTTTGGGTGACAAATTCTGTCAGTATTATTAATGACAAAATTTAACTATTATTTATTAATGGCTATTTTAATTATAAAATTTATGGGAAGTTTATTGAGATAATAGATTGCTTTTTGTTGCTATTTATAAAGGTGATGCCAAACTCTCAGGATGTGTGAATTAGCAGTTTTTGTTCATGTCAATTTTCCAACATTAACTTACACCTGCTAAAATAAAATAAGCCAATTCAGAGTCAGTATGAAGCATATGAAAAATAAAAATGAATAATACTAAGAATGACCAGATATTACCAAATGGTTCTCCAGAAAGGACAGAATTTGTGCATCTTACCAGCCCACATTGAGACATGCCTTGTTGTTAATATTTAAATATAAAAATGTACTTATGACCGTAGATCTTGACTTAAACTCTGCCTGTTTAAATATGAAAAGTTACATTTTAGTTTCCTATAATGCTGTTTATGGTAGCCATTTCCAGTATCAAACATAAAAAATGTAATTCCAAGCATAGACCTAATTGTACAATTGTGAAAATGTCAGAATCTCATAAGAATAATATCTTACAATTGTGTGGTATGTAAGCACACATTATTTAAATTATTACTTACAATAAAATCAATGGTGTGTTCATTGATGCCTGAATGTTATTTATTATATTTTTTTAAAGCTCATTGGGATAATTGTTAACAATGGAATGAACTTAATTGCTGAGTACTGTGCAAAAGTTGATTAAGTCAAACTTCTGTTGCTGAAATAATGGAATTAATAGCATTTGACAATAGCTCAGCTCTCTCCAGGAGAGTTTTGGTGGTGTAACTCTTGTTCCCAGTGAGCAACTAAGACAAGACCCATAAATGACAGTAAAGGCTGAGCCAGTTGCCGCTGAAGTTTCCAGAAAAACTTCATTGACTTTAGTAGGGGTTGGATGAGGGCTCTGGGAATGCTGCTTTCCTGCTCCGCAGAGACACGCAATGAGAAGGGCTCTGGAGACGCTCTGGCAGACAGAACATGAGCTCTCCTAAGTCGTTCCAGGCATGGAAGTGTCTATCCAAGGGAAGAAAAAATTTAGAACAGAGTTTTATTTGCCAAGGGTGATTCCAGAAACTGATTTTAATATTTTCTGAAATCATTTCCAAGCAGCACTCTTTCTGTTAGTTGTTTGAATTTTTTAACTATTCAAAAAGGCAAGGAAGACCGTGTGATAAATTCTACTGAATGCAGTGACTCCCACTAATTATTGTCTTGCTTATTCAGGGATGCTGCTTTTTTTATGTATTTTTATGTTTTTAAAGCCCACTCACTGTCTGTCCTTAGGGCTGTTCACATTCTGACAACCATTATTGAGACCAATGAGTGACAAATGCAATTACCTTAATAAATTTATACACTGATGGATGAGGAAATATATTGCCTAGAAAGGATTCTGCATGACCAAAGCCAGCTGATGTGCTATATACACCATAAAAATTGTGGCTTTACAATATGAGGTAGTTCAATGCTAAGCAAGTTCTGGTTCTGTCCAGATCAGCTTGTTTTCCATACAACTTTAGGAAAAAAAAAAAAAGATAAGGAAAAAAACCCAACAACTGATACTTGCTTTGAAAAAGAAAACAAATATTTGTGTGTTTATGAAAATGAGACACATTTTTTTCTGCTTTAGACTATAAATATAAATATCTCTTTTCCCCCCCTTTTTATACGTTGTTAACAGATTTTTCCATATGAAATTCTCATGGTGACCAACAGAGGGCGAAATAAAATACTAAAAGATGTAGACAGAACCAGGCTGGAGGTAAGAGAAGCAAGTTCCTAAATGCTCTTTCCTGCTGAAGTTGTTTGTTGTTTGTGAAAGCTGAAACACTGAAATGTGGGTCCTGAGAAATGTGGGAAGATTTCTCAGCACTAATCAGGGAAAGAGGAATCGGACACTGGGAGGAAGCAACCGCATCCTTCAAACAATCTCCCACATCTTTGTCTCCCTGCTCATAGACTGAGCTTCTCACAATCCCCTTATGTTTTCAGGCCTTTCATTATATATTTGTAGATTTGATAAAAGCCCAAAATTGCACAAGTTTCATAAGATCCTTATTGGAATGGAGCAATACTTTGTTTGATTTTGGACCATGTCTTAGCTAAGTCAGTGCCAGCCATCCTTGAAGATCAAAAGTTTAACTTTCTTTAACTCATCATGAGTCCTGTGACTTACTTAGAAGACTGGCTGATATCCAAAAATAAGTGGATCTAAATCTCTGCCAACAAACAAATATCATTTACAACTTCGTGGATTAGGAAGACTTAAGCAGCCCAGTGGAATGCTGGGGATGCTTAAGTCGTTTGTAGTCAGTTAATCTTTCTGTGGAGATGAACAGAAGGAGCCACAAAAATGCAGGTAATATGGGTAACAATTTGGATTTACGCCCATTTTATTATTAGATATGTGGTCACTAATCAGAATTCAATGCTGTGCTAGATTAGTGCCACAGGGAGACTCCCCATCCAGTGCACTGTAAAGAAGTAACTTGTGCACAGGACAGCACCAAAAAGTGTTTCATCAGCAGTAGAGAAGTGTGCTGAACAGTTACCCTGGCCAGACATCTTCCTTGTCAGCACTTGGAGCATGTCAAGCTGCAGCCCCTCTGCAGAGCATTCCTGAAAACCCAGGGTCTGTTCGGTTTTCTGTATGCAGAGGTGACTTGCTAAAGCCTGGGACAGGGGCGTGCAGGAGCTGGTCCTGCTCTCTGGTCTGTCACTGCTTGTTGGATGGCTTCAGACCAATCATTTCTCTGTCTCTTGCTTATTCAGCAGATGAAACAGTTCCCTGATTGGCTCCTTGCGCACCCAAGTCCATGGGGACTTGGATATGTGTATTGCCAAAGCATTATTTTTTCCAGCAATGACTCTTACACAGCAACATGAAATCCTTAAGGCATTCCAACCTCCTGTTGTGTCTCTGGCTTTGACTGACCATTGCCTTTTCTCCTTTTTTTTTCCCCTCCTTTTTTAAATTTTTTTTTAATTTTTTTTTAAAGCGTCACTTAGCACCTGAAGTTTTTCAAGAAATATTTGGCATGACGATACAGGAGTTTGACAAGTTACCTCTCTGGAGACGCAACGACATGAAGAAAAAAGCAAAACTCTTTTAATCTCCCTTTAAACAAACCAACCACAAATGATGCGCAGAATATTGTATCACACAATCCAAACTGTTTGGAAGCAACTACTTATCCACCAAAAAGGGAAAATCAACATAGTGGCACCTCTGCAGTTGAACAAGATGAACATTTTCCCTCCTGGAATGCAGGGAGAAAATATCTGGGCTCAGAAACAGCAATGATAGTTTTCAGAGGTGTCAACCTGTTACCTGATACTATACAAGATAGGAAACTGTTCTGTTCTTCTCCCTCAGTGATATTCCCTTTACTTCTCCACAATATGATGGACTTTATTGCTAGAGCCAGGAAGTGCCCTTAGGATGCCTTGTAGACTAAAGTAGTTGTAACCACTCCAAGAACTGGAAGAGAATATATACATATATAAATATATATATATATATATATGTATGCGTGTTTGCCTGTGTGCACACCTGTATTTATATCTCTCCATCTATCTCTGTGTGTGTGTATGTGTGTATTAATGTGTGTATATATGGAGAGGGACATAGGTCTGTAGTGAAGGAGAAGCCCCTTGTAACTTATCCACATGGTCACATGAAGTCTTTCACCCAAATGTTTCTTACTTGGCACTCTTTTGACACAGTGTCTTCTTCTTGTAACACAGCCTGTGGTGGTGGGCACTCTGCTCACCTGCAGGACACACCACTTGGATTTCTGGAAAATGGACTCCTTGTAAATATTTGCTAGGATATAAGAAGTGAATTGCTGTGTGTGTGGTGTCAGTCTTCTCTCTTCCACACTTTCTGCTTGAATTAATAAGGCTGGAGCTTAACCAGTCCTTTGAATAATTTAAGATCACCTAAGTAATGGGAATGATGGAGAAGAGTCAGTTTTCTTGTAATTTACTCCAGGAGGTGGGTGGATGGGGGTGGGAGTGACAGAGTGAGAAAATGCTATTTTAAGTGTGCCCTGGTTTGCACCCAGAGATTTCAGGATGAACTCCCTGCTAGTAATTACTAGGACAGCTCATCGGGCTGCAGTGGAGTTGTAGGATTTTACAACAGCAGGGAGGATGGTTCTCTGCAAGTTAACATGCAAATTCATCCCTCTTAGGGAGGAATGTTTCTGAATTAAAAGGTACCATCAAGGTGCCAAGCTCTGCCAATAGAGGCTTTTTGATTTAACTGCAGTAGCTGTTGTCAATATGGCACAGTGCATGGGGCCAAGCACTCATTTTAGTTAATGCAGGTTTTCACTTGTGCTTGGAAAAGAGGGCACAGACTTTTTTTTTTTTTTTTTTCCTCTCTTGAAGCATCAAAGCTCCAGCCTTGGTTATTTTTATTTCCCTTTGTGCCTGACTTGGTTTTTGAAGACAGAGTAATCATGCAAGACAGTTTCTGAGCTGCACTGAACTCCTTGTTGCTTTCAGTCTTCTTCCAATATGCTGCAGCTTGAAAAACTGCCTGTATATACCTTAACTGCTTCTGGGCAAGTCCTATGCAGAGGAGGACACAAGCACCAAAGTAATTGAATGGATGCATTGTGGCTGCCAGGTCAGCTTTTTCTCTTCCTTGGTGCTTAACTGCCAATGCATAACTGCACTAATGAGCCTGTCTCCTGATAGGAGAGGGTCCTTTAGGTTCTGTGTCTGTCAAAGAATATCATGGTTTCCTTTTTAATGCAGAACCTTCAGGCACTGGAGACATCAGAACCTTTGTATTTTCTGTTATATGAGACATTGGTGTTAAAATCTGAAGTCAGGAAGAGGAAACAGTCCCTTGTAGTTCTGAGATTCAGTATCACTGTGTTGAGTTCTCTGCATCACCAAATGACATTTCACCATGAACTGTGCAGGACAGCCCAAACCCTGCCTCTTCATTGCTGGTTTAGGAAGTCCTGTTGTGACAGATCACTGCGGTTCCTTTGATAAAATCTGAGATGAAGATTCAGCAGGGGAGAGACAGACCAGGGCTCAACACCTGCTCCTTGTCCCTAGAGCTAAGGGGATGTGGGACAAGCTGCAGAACATTCCACCAAGGATCTGGCACCATCCCCACTCAACAGAAGTCCCTGGGGACACTGTGACACACAGTGAGTGAGCTCTCTGGGTGGCTCTGAGGCTGCAGCAGAGATCAGGGTAACATGTTTCACCTCCTTTTTCAGAACACATATCTGAAAGGTTCTTAGAGGAGCTCTGAGAAGTAAATGGGAGAGTCAGGGGCTCAGGCAGGTTGAAATCCATTTTTGAGTGACTGCTGAAACCAAATCTATACAGTGAAAGAACAGCAGTGTTTTATACTCAGATTTTGTGAATGCTAGGGTCTTAGAAATTCAGTGTTTGGTCACCTGCAAGGTGTGGCTTAACTTTGAGACACATATTTCAATTTTAATGCATTTAAACTATTAAAATTCTCCACATTTTGTCTTTGCACATCCTACAGACACTCAAAGTACGAGGCATTACAGGTCTTTTAGTTCAAGTTGCCTTGACCATACCCCTTTTAGACCTGAAGAGTTGCTCTCTCATGGATGTGAACTGCCAATCTGCATTTTTGTGTCCCCATCTCTAGGTTACTACTGAACTTCTCACAGCACATATGAACACACTACCCAGTCATTTCAGAAATGACTAAGCCAGGTTGTTTTCTTACCTCTCCCTTCTATGCAAAAAAAAAAAAAAAAAAAAAAAAAAAAAAAAAGAAGAAGAAAGAAACAAACAAACAAAAAAAACCCAAAACAAAACAACTCGGCCTCTTAGCCTGTGAAGAATGGCATGGTAATTTGGATCTGCCTCATCAACTGAGAATTTAAAACTGCAGCTTAAACTTGGGAAGGAATGAAGAGAAGCCAGCTTAGATGTTGCACAAACAACTCATCTCTGACTGGATTTTTGGGCCACTGCTGGCTCCCATCTCACTGGTGTGGAGCAGTCAGTCACTTCACAGCCCTTTACACTAGACTTACTGCTGTATTCCTCCTGACTGGGAACATGAAGGGTTTTCCCAGCTTCAGTTTCATGCCTACAGTTAATTCTCAACCACCTACGTGTAGACACACCCAAGGGATCATCTGTCCACAAAACCCACGTTGCAGCCAGCCACGGGGGAGGGAGGATTTCTGCAGTGGGCTCTTAGTGATTGGTACTGCAATATTTTCTGTTCCTTCATCTGGTCTTCCCACCTAATGAAAACAAAATGTAGCCCCAGGGGGAATTTTCTTTGTAAGCAATTAATCATTCTCCTGGTATCCATTGAGTAGCAGTTCTTAGTAATTCCTCTCTTGGATACTCCCTTGGGACATGTCAGGAGTTGGACTAGATGATCTTTAAAGGTCTCTTCCAACCTAAATCATTCTATGATTCTATGAATATGCCTTAAGTACATGCTTGTGTTTCTCTAACTCCTGCAAAGTGTTTGAGCTTCTAATTAAGTCCAATCCCTTCAATGCTGTCAACAGAATGTCATTACCAAGAGGACTAAAAACTGATTTCTTTTGTCTTCTTTTTTCTCCTTTTCTGCTTTAGGAGTGATGTAAGAGTAAGGCCCAGTCAAAGCATTGCAGAATAACCCCACGTGTACACATGGGATTAAGTACACACAGGGTTATGTACAGATGTAGATCCTTGAGCACAGGTGCATGTGTGGCACACACCCTCCCCATTTGGAGCTCATTAAATGTGGATTGTGGATTGTGGTGGATGTACTGCAGTGTGCTGTGAAAGGTTAGGCTGGGAGAACTCAGTAGCTTTATGTGAGACAAGACATCTCTGTGGCCCCAGTAGCGTTTTTTACTTCTGTCAAGACATCTCTCTTCCAAAGTCCTATAGTCTGTAGGCCTGGCACTGAAGTGCTTGCTGCCCTTTTCCTGTTGCAGCTGGGAATTCCTTTCTCAGCCAGTAGTTCAGATGTCCTGCTGTTCAAGGGAGTTCAGCAGCAGCCTCTTCTGTAAAAGTTTGCTACATTGAAGTAGCAATACATATATACATGTTTTGAAGTGAATCCCTTTCCACAATCCCTGTGTCTCCTGGTAGGGTAGTATCGATGGACAGAGAAGGGTTAAGGTCTGGGAAGGAGGAGGACTGGCATAAACTTGAATTCTCCAGGGCTTGCCAGGGTGATGCTTGGCAGAATTAGAGGAAAACACTGGCATGAACCTGTAGTACCTGTTTCAAGCTGTGGGGAAGTCAATTTGGAGTTCATAGCTGAAACTATGAACACTGAAATTAATGGTATGAAGCTGTTAGAACAAGCAACAGGAAAATTAGGCCCCAGAATGGTAAAAATATGAACATGCTCTAAAATCTTCTGGGAATGATTTATCTTGGCTCCTCCTGACTTAATAGGAGATGTTGGCATATTTGGACCATAGTCTCGTTGGGCAGACAAACAAAAACCACCCTTTCTCTCACTCCATGATTCATTGCTTTCCTCTGGAATGTGTTTGTGAAGGAGGATGTCCACATCCTGAATGTTACCTTCAGCACTGAGGAACACCAGTCAGTGGTAATGACAGTGCAATAAAACACTTGCAGGAAACAAGAATTAAACTAATCTGTCCAAAATGCCCCTCATCTTTCCATGCTTAGGGAGGATGTCTCCACTGCCCCCTTCCCCATTCAGTTCTTCCCAGGTCCTGGTCTGGTTTGTGCCCTGTCAAGCTTTGTGGCCCTGTCAACACACCCACTAGAGTCCAGCATAGTCTTCAGGGTAGATGCTTAGCAAGGGCTGGTCTTGACAATATGTGGTACATTTTTACCCCATTGCTGCAAAATGCAGAGCTGGAGAGAGCTCCTGAGCACTGTGACAGTAGCACAATGCACCTTTTTCGCTTAGTGTAGAAACACTCCTATCACTGTGGGCTGCAGCATTGCTCTGGCTGGTGAGTTTTGCCTTGTGATTTCTCCCACACACCTTTTTTGTGCTTAATAAAACAAGAAGCAACAGAAAAAAATCAATCACAATGCAAAGATACCGAGTTTTCAGTCAGACCACTCTGCTGGCAGGAGCTATGTAATGCCCACATTTGCAGAAGTGTTACTAATTTTAATGTAAGCATCAGTGCAGGAAGTGGGAATGTAATTGGCCATTAATGTTGTTTGCCTGTATGCAAAATAAATTAGTTGTTGCCCAAAGGGCTTCTAACAGGGAAATAGATTTCCGCTAATGAGTTGCTCAAAAATGCTCCTCTTTGTGAAGAGGTAATACTTCCATGTGCACTGTGGTCTTTCTTTGGAGGTAAAAAAGAGATGACCGAAGGCAAAGGGTGACCTGTTGTGTCAGGATCGCCACAGTCAGAACTGTGTTGCTCCCAGGACTTGCAGAGCTGAGGCCCACAGGACCCTGCCCTGGGCATCAGGAGATGCAGCATTTCAGCAGCAGAAGCAGCTATGGGAATCCCAGCGGTGCCTTACCAGGCTGAGTCTCTAGCTCCCTTAGGATGCTTTGACAGGTCCCACTGGACACTTGCCTGGGCTTTAGTCACTGAACACCTTCAGAATGCACTTCCCTCCCCAGATGCAAACCCACTGGCAGCAGTGGAGCCTCTCACTGGCACTGTGCCCCTGGAGCCAGGGAAGCCTCTGGCTGCTGTGTGTGCCCACAGTGAGGGGCTCAGTGTGTCACTCCCAGAGCAGCCCTGTCCAAGCAGTGAGGCTTGGTCGTTGTGGACAACTCTTCCTGTAAGGGGGCCTTACAGCTGGGGGCTTTTTTTAAGCTTTGGAAACTGAAACTAATTTTTTAAAGGTATACTTTCCTTTAAATCAGTAGATTTTGGCAATAGGATTTTTTTATTATTTTATTTTTCTTCTCTCCTCCCTCCATATGTTATAAACCAGCGTTTTGGGGAGGTATCCCTGTTTTCCATTCATCTGTCTCTTTTTCTGAGTCTCTGTAAAAGTGAATCAATGTCTTGTCTGTACAGTAAGTCTGCTTATATGCATAATGAGAAGTTGAGCTGGGTTGCTGTTCTGTACAATTAGTGTTTCCACTGTCATACTGCAAACAGCACATATTGCACTCCTGTGCCACTGTAATCTGCATCACTGTTGTACTCAAGTCAATGAATAAAGTTTGGAGCTTTATTCTTAATTTCTGGATTCATGTTGCCTCATTTATTTTGGTTTTTCTTTTTCATTTTGCAGAGTTATAACAAAGTTCTCCTACAAACCAGGATGTGCTCTCACAAAGAGAGCTCTCAGAGGTGAGATATGAGTGATCAGAGCAAGACAGTTACAGGTCTGAAAATTGTCACAAGGTTTCTTGTAGCTAAGCCACTAGAAGTAGGTATTCATGCAAACCACATAGTTTTGCTGTCAACTGTGGTTTCAAATGACCTGAGGTACCAGCAAGGTCAAATAGACCATGCTGGTTTTGTCAGGCTTCAAAGGCTAAATGGCTTGCTTTCTTGATCTTTGCAAATTCAGATAAAATGTTAGTTCCCATCTTGAAAATGTTTTCTGTTATAAGTTAGGTGTTGGCTTAATCATCTGGAGTTTCAAGCTGCCTAGCCTGGGTGGGTGTGGAAGGTGGGGGATGATGCCACCCAAGGAAATTGGGTGTTTATCACACCCAGAATGTGCTGAACACCTCGGGTCCAGCAGACCATCGTGGGAGCAGACTTCAGCACACAGCACCTCTGAGGATGCAATGCAGTACAAACCTTGCACAGTCCTTGAGCTTCCAGAAAGTCCCTGCAACACCAGGATACATGCCCTGCTCATACCGGGTTCTCCATCCTCTCTCCCACTCCTCAACCCTCTGAGACTCTCCCCTCTTCCTTGCCCTACCTTGATATTCTACACAGGTTCTTTCTCGTGACAAAGGTAAGGCTTCCCCAGGGTTTTACTTCAATGTGCTGTGTTGAGATGTTTAATGACTGAGTCTCAGATGAGATGAGGACTCAGATTCCTGCTTGAAGAGCAACAGTTGGGGAATTTGATACCACTGTGAAGTTATCCTTTAGCAATGCTCATATCTGCCCTATTCACTGCCCAGGCCATGCCTGCATTTTTGTGGTCCTGTGTGTGTGCTGTGACTTGCACAAGAGAAACTTCTCTCTGAACAAATCCAGCAAAACAACTTGGTGGCAGTTAGAGGTGTCCTTTCTTTGGATTGCACCTCTGGGCATCTCCTGTTAACCTCCCTGGGCATCTTCACTCCTTTAGGAAGTGAGGAAGGTCTGTGCATGAAGTACCTGCTTAAAAATACACAAGTATAAATTGATGATTTGGCCTTGGAACTTCCCTTGAAATTTTCCCAAACATTAAAAACTCAAAATGCAAAGTCTCCCTTTTGAGTCACTTTTTCTCTGGCAGTCAGCTCCCTCCCTGTAAGAGCAGCACAGTGTAGTGCCATGGGACATGTCCTGCCAGCCCAAGCTCTGAAGATCCCAAGCAGCAATCCCCTGCTGGGGATCACTGACCTGGCAGTGTTATGGAGCAGTTGCTCCACTGCAGCCTTCCCCAGACCAGAGCACTGGGGAAATTATCTCTGACTGCTCTTCTCTGTGTAGAGCCAATTCAGAAGCATCCGTTCCAGTCATCAGCCCCACAGTGTGACAGTGCCAGCCCAGCCAAGCACATTCTTAGTTTCTCTCCAGTTAAATACACAAGCCCACTAAAATCTAAGTCTAGGATTATTTTTTCTTTTTTTTTTTAATTGTTAGCCCATTTCCCCCTGCTCCCCTCCTCCCCACAAGTAATGTGAAGTTTATGACCTCTGAGTAATGACTGTGGAATGCTCTGCATCCTACAGCCATCCCAAGGCATCTGGCAATGGGAATCTTCACAGCATGTAAAAAATACACAGATAATACCATTGTAAATAACTCAGATCAAAACAAGTCAAATGTCAATGCTAATTTGCTGTCAAGTATAGCCCAAGACCACTTCCTCCTGCAAGAAGAGAGACCCAGTTCCCAAGTATGTCTTGCTCCCCACCAAAAGAAGCTTATTCTCCACCAAAAATCTCTCCAAACTCTGAATTAACAAGAGTGGAGGTTTTTTTTCCTTCGCTGTTTTATTTTTTCTTTAGCTTTTGTGCCTGTCTGCTGTGGAGTCCAAGGCTGGGAAATGAAACTTCAGTTTCGCCTGACATTTTTCTATTGTAAAAAAAGGACTCTTGGGAGAGATATTTACTGTTTTCTATGGCTCAGTCAGAGGGCAAGAGAGAGAAGTTGTTCCAGGAGTCCCCATTACAAAGCATTTTTTCACATAGGCTCACTTTTATTTTTTAAAGGCTGGGAGATTAAAGAGCCGGCAGCCCTGGAACAGGAAGTTTGCTGTACATCCAAAGGTCAGGTGGGTCTCAGACAGCCACTGCTTCCAGCTCTTTTATATACACACTGCAGATTAAAATGTACATCCCAGGCTGGATGTAGCCATGGCAGTGAGGGAGGCCCAAGGGTTTGGGGGGAAAGGAAGAGAGGGGAAGCAGGAAAACAGCAGAGCGCAGCCTCTCCTCAGGCTGGGATTTCATAAAACAAAGCACTGGGTGGCTGTTCAGCCAGCTTAAGGTATTCCCACGCCCCCACAGCTTTTTCCTGCCATCAGATATGTCAGCATGACTGCTTGTGGGGTCACTCTCAGTGACATTTGGGAACTGATCCCACTTAAAAAAACATTTTTTACTTTTTATTTCATTGCACAGCGTTGTTGGGGGTTTTTTTCTTAAATCTTTTTAAACTGAGTCAGTTCCCTGCTTTGAGTTAGCCTCCCAAAATAATTGTGCTGGGCATGAAAAACAGGGTGGGCACAGGAGAAAAGTGGTGTCTGAAGGAAAAGCAGAGCACAGTAAACTGACAGAGGTACTGCACTTGATGTGTCATGTAATCTGTCTCAAGTCCATGGCAGAGAGGACAGCTGGTGGCTTTCCCTTTGTCTCTTCAATTCCAACAGTACCACCGCACCTTCTGTGACTGCCATTGTCTTCAAGACCTTTGAGGGTCACGCTGTGGAGTCAGGTATTTGTGCAAAGTCTTGAGTGTTTCAGCTGTTGCCCCAGGGGGCAGGAGAGGGATGGACTAAATCCCACCTTGAGCATGCACCTTCTGGAGGAGATGGCTGTTGTGCTGGCAGAGGAAGCCAGTGCAGCCCTGAGAGCTGCAGGGTCTGTGCTACGTTGGTGTTCAGGTGGGATAGAACCCTGCCAGACACACTTGCTTTGTATTAAAATGTCTTTGCTAAAACTGTGACAGAACTCCTTGGACACAGGTCAGGAGAAGATGATCTCTACAGAGTTGAGTTCCTCTTAGTGAAACTCCCAGCCTTCAAAGCTGGCAAGAGCAAGGGGCTGGATGTAAATTACTAGTGCATCCCTGGGCAGCCAGTGAAGAAACACCGAAAGATGACCCAGGTCTGGCAGGAATAGACTGACAGATTTGGAGGCTGATTTTGCTGCTTGGGGTCTCCACACTTGGGAGTCATCTATTTCCCATAATTTGGGCTATCCCAGCCCCCACAGCTCCAGGCAGTGGAGGGAATAGTCGATGGTAGAACCAAACCTCTCAGCAGGAATAGCCCAGCAAGGCTGCCAGAGGGAAACAGGGCTTCCCCTTGGCTGCCTCTCCTGGATTTAGGCTAGATACTGCAGAGGAGACAAAATGCAGCTGACTCCATTCAAGGAATTCATTGACACAGGCTCTGAGGCTTTATGTGAACCAAAATGTTTGCTGTGAAACAGGAGACTAGGTAATAATTGAATCAGGGCTCACAATGAATGAACTGCTGCTGAGAAATGCCTGCTTTACAGCCTTGATATACTCAGGATGTTCAATGACTGCCAGGAGCAAACTCTGTGGTATCTCAGCTCTTACCCTAATTACCATTTACAGAGGAGTTGCTAGATGAATGAGGGCTGCAATATAAAGGACTTTAGTAAGATTTATTGATGAGACTACATGAATAATTCCCCTCGCAATGATGCATTTAAGACCACAGATACTGTGGGAGGAGGAAAGACAGTGTTTGATATTTTGAATGATTTTAAAGTGTGTGTTTTATTTTTATGTTTCAGCTATTGCTGTTCTCTCTAACTGTTCCCTTTCCAAAAATAAAAAGATAAAAAAATTCTCCTGCCACCTAGCTATGTGAAACAATAGTAGGTAACTGAAAATAAGCTTCTTCTGAGGCCAGTAAATATTGGATCATATAAATGATTGTATGATAACTGGTTTGCCATGGTGCTTAGGCAGCCCAGAGCATAATGCTTCAATGCTCTGATGTTGTTCTGACCTCTTGGCACTCAAAGTTTGGGTTTTCCGTAACTAACTAATTGTTCAGCTTCCTGAAAATTACATTTGTGAGCTTTCTCCCTTGGGAGCAATCCCAATAGAGGACCCTTCAGAGAATTTTCCTGGGCCTGGCCAGTTCGAGTGAAAATGGAGGTACCACCAAGGTAGGCAGATCACCTGGGGGGTAAAGCTGGCTGAAAAATTGACCCTGGGAAGAAAAAGCGAGTAATATTAAATCATATCAGCAAGCCTGTCAGCCTCGACATGCAGCCACCCACTGCCAGTGCTGACACAAGGGAAGGGATGAGGGAAGGCATTGCCACTCATTGTCAAGTTTCACCAAAGCACAATTTATCCCCCTGCAGATGTCAGGATTTGACTTCTCCTCATGGGGACACCCAGGAAAGTTCACCCCAAATTAACTAAACTTAAATAAACCAAATTTACTAATCATCACCCCAAATGCCTTTAATTAGATTAGCTCACTGTGGAATGAAGTAAGCCAAAACAAATTTAAGGCACTTGAAGTCTTAGTTTGGTAGGATGTTCTGCAGGTCTCTTGTGAGATGCTGAAGCTGCTGTGGGTCACCAGTTCACCACCAGTCCTCTGCTTTGTCACCTCCCACAGCTGTAGCACTGATGCCTCTCAAGACGTGACCACTGTGCAAACACTTGCAGGTTACTTCAAGAAGTGTTTGGTGGGTGACCAGTGAGAAGCAAGTAGAGGACAGAACAGGAAAGATCTCTTGAAATAGCTTCAGTTCTGAGAATTGCCTATCAGCAAGAAGCCTCGTCCTGTGGCAGGAACCCACAAGTCCCCTTGCTGTGTCTGTCTGCGGGGAGACCAGAAAGGTGCGTC